ATGTGTCAATATTTTTTCCCTCGTCTTTAGAAGTTTTTAAGTCTGTAAAAAAGAAGTTTTTGAGGAAGAAGAAGGAGTAGTAATTTTTTTTTTTTAGACTTTAGAAACTCAGAAGCTGATCAAATATCGGGTTAAATATCGGTGGGGTGGCCGATGTCCGATATTCAGTTTTAAGGCCGATACCGATAGGGGGCCGATTATATCGTGCATCCCTAGTTATCTTTTGACTAAAATGCCTTTAGATAATTTATAATATTAAGCATGTCTCTAAAAAGGCATTTTATACATCTCCAGTGTGCCACATCATCACAACATACACATAAGCAGATGATTAGAAATCCACGGCTCCAGCCTTATCAAAATAGAACGCCGCTCTCATTCTATTTCTCTAACGATCTTGGTTCTGTTGGTTTTCTTTAAGCTTTTGTTTTAGTTTAGTTTTTTTTTGGTTTTCTAGCTTTAATTGTGTGTTCTGGATTTATTTAGGTTTCTTAGGTTTTTCTTTGCTTGTCCTCTGTTGCCCCCTTGTGTTTCCTTTTCCCTTGGCTTCCTGGTCAGCTCTACTCATACCTGCTCCTTATCAGCTCGTTAGTCCCACCTTTGTACAGTCAGCCATAAATACATTCCCTGTGCAGTCCCTCAGTGCTGGTTCCTCGTCTTACTTCGTCTCACCCTGGCTCCTTGTGATTGTTTCCCCCTGATGTCTCCATGGTTCTGGTTTGTGTTTAATTTTTTATGTTGGATTTTTGGATACCTGTTTTTGCTACCTGTTTCATCCCATTAAATCTGCAAGAACTCACCTCAGCCTCCCTGCCTCTGCATTTGGGTCCTCACAAAAACCTCCAACACAATCGTGACAATTTCCAAATCTTTTCCACGTACAAAATTAAGATTATAACTGTATATCCAGACAGAGGAATTGTCCTAATTAGATTGAAACATCAGTTCTGACGTGCAACAGGCAGCTCATACCAGGGTGTGATAAATTCACACATCTTCGATCATAATTATCTTAACATTCAGAAAGGTCCAAACAGACAGCAGTGTTGCCAACTTAGCGCGTTAGTCGCTATATTTAGCCACTTTTCAGACCCCTCTAGCACTTTTATTACAAAAAACCACCTAGCGTCAAATCTAGCGACTTTTTTCTGCTACTGGAGACTTTGGAGACAACATCCAAAAGCAGCGAACTCTGCTCTCCAGAGCAAATAGATTGGTAACCCCGCCTCCTGCTCTCCTCTATCTTGTCTGCTGTCATGATTCATGCAGCTATTATTTCATCCAGATGAAAAATGGAGAACAGATAAGCAGATCATGGCTTGTCTACAGTGAAAAGAAGGACTGGGTTATTTACTTTGGCCTTTTTGGAAACACAGGAAGGAGCAATCAGCTAAGTGAGCTTAGTGCTTGGAAAAAATCTTTCATTCCTTTAGAGACAGCATGAAAAGTCAGCTGAGTACAAAACATAGAGAGGAAAACAAGAAGAAAAGGGACGAGAAGAGAGGGACACAACCTAGAACAGATAATGGATGTCTATTCTATTAACATTTCTCTATCTGTAGAATGGGTCTGTTTTATGTGTCGTCTTGTCAATTTAGAGGGGCCCCTGTCTGTCTTTGTCTAGGGCCCTAAATTTCCTAAATCTGCCCCTGAGGAACCACATCGGCTTTATCCAAGACTGACTGTTTCTCTCTTCCAAGTCAGTTCCACCAACTCTTCCTCTCCATAGGTCAAGAGTCTGGGTGTTATCCTTGATAGCGCTCTCTCTATCACCTTTAACATCAGTAACTTTAGCTGCTCTGACTATTTTTATCTACTAAACATTCATTGTCTTCGTGCTTCTTTCTCCACACTTTGCTTTTGTTCTGGTCCATAGCAGTGGCGGCTGGTGAAAAATATTTTTGGTGGGGCTGATATAGCCTAGTGTATGTCTCCAACTAATCCAGAATAAGAATTCAAATAAACAATTGGACAATACATACAATTTAACAGTAATGATTTAATTTACTATATAATAACAGTAACAGTGATGATTTGGGTCACTGTGACGGGGTTCTTTGGCCTCCAAGAATCCAGGCTCAGTCGGGTTACCGGTGTTGGTGATTTATTGTGCACAAAAACTCAAAACAGGGTGCGAAAGAAACTAAACATGTACAAGATCCTCTGGGCCTCAGCCTCCCTCCAGTTACCAGCAATGTAACAAAGAAACAGAAAACAAAAATAGCCGCTTTTCTTCCCACAGCCCTCATTAAATAGTTTAAGCCCCTCACATCAGGCTCTCTTATTTCTGATTTCTTCTCATAAATCAGTTTTGTCCATATATTACCTCCACAAACAATTGATGTACAAAAACAAATAATTTTTACAACTTAATTCTTTTACACAGATTCATTGACTTATTCAATTACACCAAACTGGGTTTGAACCCAGCAAAGATGCAGCCAGACTGAAGATGACAAGTCCCCGTAGCATAAACACGTACACACACACACACACGGCTAACCCCACTGAAATATTAAGTGTGCACCCTCAATACGCCAGCAGGTAACCAGGAACAGCTTGTGTGTTTTAAGTTCATGGAGCTACTGGTCTCAGCGCGAGTGTATTGGTCCTCACAAGCACAGTATAACAGGAATGTGTGTGTGGCGCGCAAAGTTAGAGGATGTGGATTCGTCACAGTCACAATAACCATGACATGAAATGTTCCTACCCTACAACATGGATGTTCTTCTGGCAAACGGGTAGATAAATAAGGATCTCACCGAATTTGGTGGAAGCTGCATCTCGTTCGTTACGTTCGCCATCGTCCCTCTAATTGTCTGCACCTGCGCTTGGGTTCAGAAGCCTGTTAAAGTGCAGTATTTTCAGAGCCCAGAGACCATAAAGTTCTGAGACGCTGATTGTCCATTAAATTCACCTAGCAATAGTACATGATTGACAGATTCTCTGCAAATGTGGGTCAGTCTGATCAGCGCCCCCAGAACAGAGACGGTAGGAGTCTGTCTGTGGAAATCCACAAATGAATGACAGTAGATAGGGAAATGTAGTTTATATAATTTGTTTTGCTTATAGGTACACAGTCTAGAGAGTAAAACTGACATTTATGAGTTAATTTCTAAAAATATATTTTACGTTTCTCTCTTCTTATCAGGGAGGGTGGTGCCCCAGCGCCCCCTATGGGCCGGCCGCCACTGGTCCATAGCCTTGTCACCTTATGCATCAATTACTGTAGCCCTCTTCTTTTTGGCCATTCCCAGAAATCTCTCCATAAGCTTCAGTTGGACCATAATTCAGTGGTTCGTTTAATCTCAGAAACCTCCTTATTACATCACATCTCTTCAGTCCTACAGGAGCCTCACTAATTTCCTGTCAGCTTCAGAATCCAATTCAAAACTGTCCTGTTTGCTTTCATACGCTTAAGTATGGGTCATATGGAACAGAAGCGTGCTCGTGACGTCACCACATGCTCGGCTCGTCTGGAGCTGCATTTCACCTCCTGTTATTAAAGTTGCAGGAGGAGATCTTGGAAAAAACGGTTCCAGCAAGCTAAATTTTTGAACATACACGACCATGCCTCTACCTTCAGACCACCCCCCAAACCACGCCTTCAAAACACATGAACGTGCACGCTGTCTGCAGCGCGTCAAGAGCAACAGGAGGAGCTGGTGGCAGGGAGACAGGCGGCACTGATGATGCAGAGCGCTATGATCACTCCTCTGAAACAGTTTATTAACGCCTTAATGAACTTAAAATGCCTAAATCTGCCAGCAAAACATGTTCGCTTTTATTGTCCTGGTGTCAGCAGTTTGGATTACGTACGTGAAAAACGCCTCCCTGCCACCGCGGCAAACCTTGAGGAGGTCAAACCCGGTGTACCGGGGTCTGTGCGGCTCCGACAGAAATAATATTTGAAGGCAGGATGGTATTCTGGATGACGAACAGACCATTGATTCAGGAGGACTTTCTCACTTCAAAATAGATTCAAACTACTTTTTACCCACTGATCACAGCAAATATAGCCGCCATTGTTACAGGCAAAGAAAGAATAGGGTAGCTCCGCCCCCAACTCGCATCAGACCTACATTTTCCACCGCGCAGCCAGAGCAGCAAAGATAGGGTGACCAGACGTCCTCTCGGACATGTCCTACTTTTCAGACCTAAAAAAATGTCCGGAGAATTTCAAAATCATCCGGGATTTTGGTAACAGGAGCCAGCGGGGGACGGAGTGACAGAACCCAACCCGGTAACGGTAGCCTGGACACCTGCGTTCCCTTGCTTTCCCCGCCTGCCTTACCGGTCCCCAGCCCCCCTCCTCCGGCTGAGGACGGGCGGCTCATGGCTTTCTGCTGAGTTCCGGTCCAGTCAGCGGCCCAGCAGTCAAACCCCCCCCAAATAAGTGTCTTTTCAGAAGCCCAAATCAATCTAGTCACCCTAGTCAAGATGCTTCAGCCATGCATCAGAACTAAACTTATACAAGCATAAAAAATGAAGCGTTTTTGCTGCTCCTGCTACTTTAGGTGTGAACGTAGCATAAAAGTGGCTAGCTTCCAGCCATGGCGTCCTGCACGAGCATTGGGGGGTCGATTCGCTCATGTGTCAGGGTACGCACACAGTGGGGAGGGACAAGAAGACGACCATGATTGACGTATCAGGAGTCAATCGTGTACAACGGACCGTCTTTTGTGATTGGTGGACGTTACTCATTGATTTCTCACTGTAGCGGGGACCATTTATTTTAGTTTCACTTCCAGACCTTCTATTTCACTGCTCGCTAAGCGGCTGTGGGGAGATCTTTAAGCCACATGGTAAAAAATGCGTCAGAAAAGATCTCCTACTGCATCTTTAATAGTCTCTAGATAATAATAAATTCTTACTTTTTACTTTTTTACACAAATTAAATTCATATTTTGCCAAATAATAATACTTCACACATGGCTATGCTGAGATTGGGCTGCTGCAGACGGGCTGGTTGGTAAATGCAGCCACAGGGTTCAGCTTACCTGTGATCATGCTTGAGATGATGAGTGGGAGGATGACCAGTTTGAGCATCCGCATCAGGATCTCTCCAGGGAAGCCGAAGTACTGCTTGTTGAGATGGGAGAGGGATGCATACTCTCTGACCACTACGCCCAAAGTGATGCCTGAAACGTCAAATAAACACCTTTATTAGATTCTCTGGTGGTTAACCTGGAACAAGCTGCTACGGTAACATATAGAAACACTGTCTCAGACATTTTGAAAAGTTGGTTTCAGTGTTTAACTCAGAGATGCAGGAATCTCAGCTGAACCACAGCATGGGGGGAGTTCTCTCTTCTGACGCGCGGCGGGGGTTTATATGTGCAGGTATGTGAATATGACACCATAAAGGACCCATTGTCTGTTAAACACAAGTTGGAAATATTTCTCTCTCTCTGGTTACTTTCTGGTAGGGATCAGGTTCCATCCATGTTTGCTTTGTTCAATGTTCGGTCATCCTAAAAGCAGTATCACTGTTGCAGTTTTCCTCAATTTATTGATTCTTTGATATAACTGTTTTGTTTTAAGGAAATCCTTGGAGACGACTGTTGCCCACGGTGATGTTCAACCAGATAAACTTTATCTTTAGAGCTATATTCCTGGAAGTTAGTGGAACTCAAAGAACCTTAAATACATTTAAAAAAATCAAACAATGACCGGAGAGATTATCAGAAGATGGCAGATCTTTCAGAATATTCCAAACATCTAGGTTTCTGGTCCGTTTCATTGTAGCAGCTTCCTGCAGGCCCCAAATGCTGCTGTTCTTATTTAGACTGCTTTGTTTTCTTCAAGCAGGATGATTGAGAAGTTAACGGCCTCAATTACTGCGTGATTACAGCTGCTGTAATCATTTACCCTAACACCTTTACAACATAACAGTTTCCTCCACCTCCGCATGCTGAGGATGGTTTTAGGGTTGGGTTTTAAAAAACAACTTTGACTTGAGAGATAAATGATTTAATGTTTAGCAGTTTCGGGGAAAGACGTTTCTGATAAAGCTTGAAATGTGTGGGAAAAAAACTCATTGGAATCTGCCTTTTTTTTACACCGAATTTTAAACATTGATTTTTTAGCAGCAAATTTTAAACACCGATTTTTTTTTTACACATTGAATTCCTTACAGTGAATTTTTACTGCAAAAAAATTCACCCGCAAAAAAATGAGCAACAAAAAAATTTAGCTGCAAAAAAATTCGCCTGCAAAACAATTGACTCCAAATATGTTGACCTTTTGGTGAACTCAAGCCAGAGCAATCTACACTTGATGCAGTCGAGCAGCTTCTAGCCAATAAAAGCTTATAATGAGATGCACTCTATTGTCCGGAAAATACGGTAATTTTAGGTAATAAAACAACACAAGGAACCATTTCAAGAAAAAAAACTGTTAAATTACTGGTTACTTTAACCAGTTACAGATGTGTCAAGTAACAAAGTACAAATACTTTGTTACTGTACTTAAGTACACTTTTTAGGTATCAATACTTTACTCCATTACTTATTTTTCTTCATACTTCTGACTTCTACTAATTACATTTTCACACAAGTATCTTTACTTTCTATTCTTTACATTTTTAAAACAAACGTTACTCGTTACTCTTGGCTTCAGTTTAATGTTTCTAAATATCATGTGCTCCATCCAATGCAGATCATTGGCTCCACCCACATCTAGTGAAAACTAGTGTGATTGGATGAGTCATAGAACGCAAACACTCGTTGGTTAGCTAAAGGAAATCATCGGAAGCAAGCAGGTGTTCTTCAAACTGCTAACGTGAATTGTCTGTGCCATGCTACAATGTGGGATTCAGAAAAAGATGTTGAAACGTCTGAAAGGTCAGACACAGGCGAGAGCGTATCGTATTTTTTAATGGTTACTTTATACTTTTATACTTTACGTAGTTTTTGGAGCACATACTTTTTCACTTTTACTTGAGTAAAGATTCAAGTTGATGCTTCAACTTTTACCAGACTGTTTTTAAACTGCAGTGTCGATAATTTTACGTAAGTAACAAATGTGTGAACTTTTGACACCACTGGTTAGTTAATGCATAATACAGCTATATTTAAAAGGAAAAGTCCGCTCATATTCAGAATTCAAACTTCTGAAAATACTTTAAATATAAAATTAATCCAGCCTGTTCAATGAATGATCAGTGTTTTTGATTCAGATTAATTTTCATCTGAATGTGCTTTACTGGAGGCATCCATGTTTGTCAAAGAACACTACTGCCACCTACTGGTTTGTGACGTCACGGTGCGGTATCGGCTGGTGATCAAGTCCCAGTGCTGTATCTGGTGTTTGTCACAACGCGCTATTATCCAAGTCATCTTGAAAACATTCTTCTTCCAAATGTTGGCTACATATTACGGGTTTTTTCTCTGGCCAGAAGTTCGATGGAAAATCCTCCCTCTTCAAGTTGGCGATCCAGCGACCAACCCGTCCGTTTTCCACTTTTACCCGATATATTCCAGCATCCAGCTGCCATGCACGTGGGCATTGTCAGTTTCACTATAGCTCTGGTGAATTTCAATGGTGAAGTCCTCTGGAAATCTTCAATAATTGTTGTTGATTGCAGATGTGTCTAGTAGTTCCCATTGATTTAGCTTGTAAAGCGGGGAGAATGGCGCTAGGCTTACCGCACCGTGACGTCACTGCTGGAAGATGGCAGGAGGGAGGGGTTACTATATTTGGGCAAAAATGGCCGCTCCCAGTGATAGCGATGAAAAATATTGCTTTTATTTTTTACTGATTAACACAAAATGAATTAAATCACCGCAAACGTGTTAGTTTTAGGTATAAATAATGATCCATGTATTATTCTTTGCTGACCAGACTTTTCCTTTAAAGGTTATGGCTACAACTTTTTATCAAAACAACTTTCAAAAATAAAACATCCACAAATGGTTTAGAGTGGTGCAGAATAAAATTATTTTTTATGAAAAAAAAAACAGTCTATAGCATATTATATAAATCATTGCTAACATCACCACCTTTACAGCTAGAACAGAACTGGACATGATTTGAGCCGTAGCTCAGTGAAAGTCTGGCTACGTTTGACCAGGCGATGAGTCACAGCAGCCTGTTGGAGTTCAATTTTCTAACACAGTGAGCAAGCTTTTAAAAAATGAAATTTCCAAATATAAAACTTAAATAACTTAAACTTAAAAACTGGTTTAGTATTTAAAAAGTTGACCCAGACTGAAAGTAAAGCTTATTTTTAACCCTTAGGTTGGACTGAGCGGCGCCAGACGGGTCAAGAATGGCGGATTTTCTGAAGGCTTTCAAAAGCTACGTTGGGTTAATCAGTGCCTCCATTTCAGCTGACAATATACTGAATTTGCAGACTAGCTGGACCTGAAACGGTAAAAGCAGCTGCTACTTTATTACCGACTCCTGCTGGAACTTCACTCAGGGTTTTATTGTAAGAATAACATGTTGGCTTTTCAGCATTTCACCTGCGTTACACATATTTTATAACACATTTAAGACCCATCAGATGAGATAGAGGTAACTATTAAAAACTAAAAAAAAAAAAAAAAAAATGGGCTTATTCTTCCATAGAAGGAAACCTGCTCTGGATGTTATAATCATTTACATGTCCAGTCCAGCCTGGCCAGAACAGAACTGCTTGTTCTTCTCTGTCAACAGCCTCACTGGTTTGTTTTGCTCTCCTGTTTTTATTTAAACTGTTTTTAACAAAGCCCGGGACAGTTTGTAACAAACAGAGCAAAACAAATGAGCTTATGTCTCCAGACTGGCTGTGTAAAAAAGAATTTTATACTTATTTAGTTAACTAAAACTAAAAAAAGAAACAAAAGCTGAAAGGAAAACTGAAAAACATAAAAAGTAAAGAAAAAGTCCAGCAAGGAATAATCAATGGATCATTATTTATACCTAAAACGAATACGCTTGTAGTGATTTAATGGATTTAGTGTTAATCTGTAAAAAAATAAAAAAATATATTTTTGTTGCGGAGTCTGGGAGCAACCATTTTGGCCCAAATATAGTAGCCCCTCCCTCCTGCCATCTTCCAGCAGTGACGTCACGGTGCGGTAAGCCTAGCGCCATTCTCCCCGCTTTACAAGCTAAATCAATGGGAACTACTAGACACATCTGCAATCAACAACAATTATTGAAGATTTCCAGAGGACTTCACCATTGAAATTCACCAGAGCTATAGCGAAACTGACAATGCCCACGTGCATGGCAGCTGGATGCTGGAATACATCGGGTAAAAGTGGAAAATTATTTCCCCTTTCTGATTCCTGATCCTCCACGGACGGGTTGGTCGTTGGATCGCCAACTTGAAGAGGGAGGATTTGCCATCGAACTTCTGGCCAGAGAAAAAAACCCGTAATATGTAGCCAACATTTGGAAGAAGAATGTTTTCAAGATGACTTGGATAATAGCGCCTTGTGACAAACACCAGATACAGCACTGGGACTTGATCAACAGCCGATACCGCACCGTGACGTCACTAACCAGTAGGTGGCAGTAGTGTTCTTTGACAAACATGGATGCCTCCAGTAAAGCACATTCACATGAAAATTACTCTGAATTAAAAACACTGATCATTTATTGAACAGGATGGAATAATTTCAGATTTATAGTATTTTCAGAAGTTTGAATTCTAAATCTATGACCAGACTTCTCCTTTAAATATAACAGTATTATGCATTTATAGAATCAACAGAAATGTACTAAAAACAAAGCTATTCCCCCATCAAAATTCATTTGAAACGTGTTTTCTAACAGATTTAGTTCAAGTAAGCAGTAATTTCAAAATGTTTTCAGTATGTAATAATTTTATATTTAAAGTACTTTCAGAAGTTTGAATTCTGAATGTGAGCGAACTTTTCCTTTAAGGTGTATTTTACATTGCTATTTTTTTGTTGTTGTGAAATCAGGCCTTCATAAGGATTAATATTTAAAATCAATACATGCACGATATAAAAGACAACTGAATGAGAAAAGAGACAGTTGTAGATGTTTTTTTTTAGAATGATTCAATTTTAAGAATTCTTCTTCTTTTTTTAAATATCCAGTGAAAACATCTTTTCTTTTCTGGCATTGTTCCTGCTGCTGTTATCTTTAGTGCCTCCTGCCCATCATCTTTATCTTTCACTCCTTCCAAGAATTATTTATCAGATTAAAGATTAGAATATGGAGCTAATTTAGGGCCATACAGTTCTTTTTTTTTTTTTTACAATAGTAAGAAAAAAATATAAAAAAATTAGAAACTCAAAATATGTGTAAACTGAAAAATAACAAGAAACTAAACTAAAAAGTATTTTTGAAACACAAAAGAATTAAAAATGAAGAAAATATATTTTTTTTTGCTCTGAAAAAAAAAGCTTTGGAGGTGAAACATTTAAAACTACCTTATTCAGTTTCCAATAGCTTAAATTTAGCTCCATATTCAGATACTATCTGGGTCAGCTAGAAACACTAATATAACAGACCATTAGTAGAAATGTAAGGGTCAAATTAAACAGTGACTAGTAAAAAAAGTGAGAGCTTTAATATCACATTACTACAGATTAAACAAAGATTTCCATTCAGTTTGGTGAAAACAAAAGCAAAATATAAATGTCTTTGGTGGATTCCTAAACCTAGATTATCCAGAATTTTGTTCCATTTAAAGTTTGAGTTCTGCCAATTTTTTTTTTTTTTTTTTTTTTTTTTGTTACCTTGGTGAGGCTGTTTTCTTCTCAATGTTCAGCTGATGTTTCCACATAAAGTGACTCTTTTCACTTAAATCATCTCTAAAGGCACTTTGTTGCAATCATTTATTTGAGGAGAATCAGAGCAAAGGGTGATTAATAGCTAGTTTTTCTAGAAACAAAAAAAACGTTCCAAATATAGGAAGTTAAAATTTGTTTTTGGGTTGCGACAAAATGTGCAACAGCACCGGAGGAATGATGAGGGTTTGTCCTCCCAAAGAAACTCAGATTAACCTATTCGTGAGATCTGGACCGGGATTAGGGCCACTGGAAATAAAATTATAAGTTAACTGACTTTTTTTTTCCCATTTGAGTTTAATAAGTCAGAATTCTGAGATAAAAGTCAGGATTCTGCAATTACAATCAAAATTCTGATATTACAGTTAGATTTCTGAGATTACAGTCGGAATTCTAAGATTAAAGTCGGAATTCTGAGATTAAAGTCAGATCTAGGAGATTACAATCAGAATTCTGCAATTGAAGTCAGTATTTGGAGATTAAAGTAAGAATTCTGTGAAAAAGTCGGAATTCGGAGATTAAAGTCACAATTCTGAGATTACAATCAAAATTCTGAGATTACAGTCAGAATTCTGAGATTAAAATCAGAATTCTGAGATTACATTCAGAATTCTGTGAAAAGGGTGGAATTCTGAGATTACAGTCAGAATTCTGAAATTAAAATCAGAATTCTGAGATTACATTCAGAATTCTGAGATTAAATTCAGAATCCTGTGTAAAAAAGTCACAATTCTGAGATAACAGTCAGAATTAGGAGATTACATTCAGAGTTCTGTGGAAAAAGTCGTAATTCTGAGATTATAGTCAGAATTCTGACTTTGCCCCATATTAAGCTCAAATGAAAAAAAAAAAAAAAAAAACTCAGTTAACTTAAATTGAAAAAATAAATAAATCCAGAGGCCCTATTTCTCTTCCGTACCAATCTGTTGCCTACAGGTTGTGATTTTTCCGCAGAGAATATCCTGACTGAAGCTCTGCAGCATGGGACAATGAATAGAAGTATTATTTGGGTTAAACATACATTCACCCACTCATCCTAATAGAAATGAAAGCCCATAAATCAATGCATCCTGAAAGGAAGAGCAGAGCCAAGCATCAGCTGTCCCCTCAGTCTGGTCACGTCTGACTGAGGCTCATCCAGACTGAGGCTACCTCTTCAGAACCAGGAGGCAGAACAGCTCCCTGGTTCTGAAGGCGCTCAGACCGACACAGAGGGAGAGATGCAGCCCATCATTTCCACGGTTAGTGGAAATAATGCGTCAGTCTGTGACACATGCAGAACCGTCCACGTACCGATCAGCACCGACAGAACCGTGGCGATGAGGAGCCAGTTCCTCCTCAGCAAGCCTTTCACGTTCAGTCCGCGGCGCTCCTGGGTGCCCTTCATGTTCCACGGTTCTCCTGCTTCCGTCCAAAAACAAGGGAAGGAAAATAATGAGCAGAAAAACAATGATTCCTGTAGAGACGCAGAAGATTCCTGCAGACTGGCGGCGCGCAACAGACACGGCAGAGGAGGAGGAGGAGGAGGAGGAGATGGATAGTGGAGCAGCAGTATTGCTTCAGTAGCGGAGGTGGCCCCTCCCCCCCAGCCCACGCAAGGTGCATCTGTCTTTCCCACTTCATCAGGTGATGCTAGCACACAACTCACCTCTATTCAATTCTATTCAGTTCATTTCTAAGGCGTCAATTCACATCTGGTTGAATTGTATCTGGAAAGTGCCTTGAAGTGTCCTGAAACTGAACAATCTGAAGATCTACACCAAGTGTTTCATGTTTAGGGCCAAGGTGGTCCTTTCAGCACCCAGCCTCCATGGATGCTCTTTATTCTCCTCGCTTCCAACATGTTGGCATGATTGCCTGCAGAATAAAATGAAAAGGCTGAAGAATTTCGATTGAACTTATTCTTGCTTCAGATGTGGCACCTTAATGTCATGTGTGCAACATGACATGCTTGTCTAAATAATAGTAAGGTTATAATTTGTATTTCACTGTTTACATTTGTTAGAAGGGCTTTGTTGATTATTTCACTTTGTGTTATCCACTCCTGGTGTCTCATTTCACACAATTTATATCACTGAACATTGTACCCAGTATAACTATGCATAAAACAAATAAAACATACCTTATCTTATCTTATTTTATTTTTATTTCACAATCTCATTGTTATCTCAGCCTTTGCTCTGTCATACACTATATTGCCAAAAGTATTTGCTCACCTGCCTTGACTCACATATGAGCTTAAGTGACATCCCGTTCCTAATCCATAGGGTTCAATATGACGTCGGTCCACCCTTTGCAGCTAGAACAGCTTCAACTCTTCTGGGAAGGCTGTCCACAAGGTTTAGGAGTGTGTTTATGGGAATTTTTGACCATTCTTCCAGAAGCGCATTTGTGAGGTTGCACACTGATGTTGGACGAGAAGGCCTGGCTCTCAGTCTCCGCTCTAATTCATCCCAAAGGTGTTCTATCGGGTTGAGGTCAGGACTCTGTGCAGGCCAGTCAAGTTCATCCACACCAGACTCTGTCATCCATGTCTTTATGGACCTTGCTTTGTGCACTGGTGCACAGTCATGTTGGAAGAGGAAGGGGCCAGCTCCAAACTGTTCCCACAAAGTTGGGAGCATGGAATTGTCCAAAATGTCTTGGTATGCTGAAGCATTCAGAGTTCCTTTCACTGGAACTAAGGGGCCAAGCCCAGCTCCTGAAAAACAACCTCACACCATAATCCCCCCTCCACCAAACTTTACACTTGGCACAATGCAGTCAGACAAGTACCGTTCTCCTGGCAACCGCCAAACCCAGACCCGTCCATCAGATTGCCAGATGGAGAAGCGCGATTCGTCACTCCAGAGAACGCGTCTCCACTGCTCAAGAGTCCAGTGGCGGCGTGCTTTACACCACCGCATCCGACGCTTTGCATTGCACTTGGTGATGTATGGCTTGGATGCAGCTGCTCGACCATGGAAACCCATTCCATGAAGCTCTCTGCGCACTGTTCTTGAGCTAATCTGAAGGCCACATGAAGTTTGGAGGTCTGTAGTGATTGACTCTGCAGAAAGTTGGCGACCTCTTCGCACTATGCGCTTCAGCATCCGCTGACCCCGCTCCGTCAGTTTACGTGGCCTACCACTTCGTGGCTGAGTTGCTGTCGTTCCCAAACACTTCCATTTTCTTATAATACAGCTGACAGTTGACTGTGGAATATTTAGGAGCGAGGAAATTTCACGACTGGATTTGTTGCACAGGTGGCATCCTATCACAGTTCCACGCTGGAATTCACTGAGCTCCTGAGAGCGACCCATTCTTTCACAAATGTTTGTAAAAACAGTCTGCATGCCTAGGTGCTTGAATTTATACACCTGTGGCCATGGAAGTGATTGGAACACCTGATTCCAATAACTTGGATGGGTGAGCAAATACTTTTGGCAATATAGTGTATGTCTGATGATACTGACTGACAAGGAGGTGCAGAGTTAATGGCCAAATCATTTTGGTTTTGTTCATTTTTCTCTGATTAAAAATATAGAATGAGGAAACAGTTTTATTTTTATTAGCTACAACCTCCCTTTTTATTAGCTACATCACATAAATTATAAATCCCTTTTAAATCTTATCAGCAATCTGTCTAAAGGTCTGTTTGCATCATTGCTATCATTTGAGCATCTATCAGAGGGAAATTCTATTCAGTTTATTTCTATAGCGCCAGCTTACAACACGTCACCTAAAGGCACTTTAGTTCACCAGATTATCCAGTCAGATTGATTCAGAGTTTTCCATCTAGGAAAACCAGCTGATTGCATCAACTCATTAACTCTGAAGAGTTAATGAGTGGCTTATAGTTAGAGTGGCTCAGGATAACCTGAGCCACTCTAACTATAAGCTTTATCAAAAATGAAAGTAGGACTAAAAGTAGACATGGTATCCTCAGATCAGCATATTGAGCTAAAAAGTCACAGCCGTGGCTGTAGGTTTTGTGATAATACCAAGATTATTGATTTATTCTGAAGAGTAAATGCTTTAATTCTTGGAGAAAAGTCCACTTTCTTCACTGCTCTAAAAACATTCCCGGCACTTAAGCATTTATGTACACTTGTAGGTTAAATCCTGATCCGTGCATGCAAGTTTTTTTCTGGTAAATAAACGCTCCTCACTGCAGACACAAGGGGACTTTCCTCACTCATGGTGATGCTTGCAGATTTGAAACGGAGGAAATTATTCTTATAAGGCAAAAAATATATATATACATTCATTTGTTTTATAGTTCTAATGTTCCATCAGCTGCTTACTCTATTCCCCAAGAAAAACATGGAAGGTTGATGATATTTAAAACTGTTATTGTGTTCATATTATGGGAAAATGCTGCCATCTTCTGCATTTCTTCTGAATTTCATTCCCAGTTTACCGAAGCCGTCAGTTATTGGCTTTTTCATTCTAGTTGAGCTTTGGCTTGTAAATCATATTTTCATTAACTAATTTTAAACAGTTTTGCAAACATGGGTTCCTGTAGCTTCTTTAATGAGCAAAACAAGGGGGTGGTGAAGCGTTAGAAGGCAACTCAACTTTATTTATAAAGGCCTTTAAAACCACATCTGCCACAAAGTGCTGCACATGGCAGGTAAAGTTAAATTGTATATAAACAGCATACAAGTTTAAAGGAATTAAACAAATATAATAGAATAAGACATTGGTCTTCTAAATGCACGTAGACCTCTAACCAATAGGTACGTGTAAATAGGAAACATTTGTTGTTAACAGTTAAAGAAAAGTCCGGTCAGCAAGGAATAATCAATGGATCATCTGCCTGTTTTTCCAGTGTAGTCCTGTTTCTCTGACTGGACTCCATGCAGTTTGTGTTAAACTGTAAGAAAAGTTGTTTAGCAGTATTTTCCTTACCTTGTTAGGTTAAAAGTATTTCAGTTTATTTCTATTCTCATGTGATTCAGCACCAATTCACAACACATTTCAAGTCAAAGACAATTTAATCAGATCATACAGTCAGATTGGTTCAGCATTTTCTCTGTCTAAGGAAACCCAAATGACTGCATCCAGTCATTGACTCGGTTGGATTCACTCCTCCTGGGTTTAGCATTTAGCGACAGCAGTTAGATTAAATTACAAGAGGAAGAAAACAAAAACAGAACCATCGATCTAAAGTTTTAATGCACATACTGAGCCGACATTTCAGCAAATAAATGAGCTGTGGATGGTTTTGTTTCCACCATCTCCTTCTTCTTCTTATTTAATTGTGGCAGGCAAACAATCATCAGGTGCATAACCGTCAGCAGCTGTTAAGGAGTATAAGAGCTGATTTTTTTCTTGTATATTCGTGATTTTGCAGTTTTGCCAATAAGAAACAGTCAGAGTTCTGAGATTAAAGTTATAATTCTAACAAAAAAAAGTCAGAATTCTGAGATTAAAGTCACAATTCTGAGAAAAAAGTCAGAATTCTGAGATTAAAGTCAGAATTCTAAGAAAAAGTCAGAGTTCTGAGATTAAAGTCAGAATTCTAAGAAAAAGTCAGAGTTCTGAGATTAAAATTAGAATTCTGAGATTAAAGCAGAATTCTGAGATTAAGGTCAGAATTCTAAGAAAAAGTCAGAGTTCTGAGATTAAAATTAGAATTCTGAGATTAAAGCAGAATTCTGAGATTAAGTTCAGAATTCTAAAATTAATGTCAGAATTCTGAGGAAAAAGTTAAAATTCTAAAATTTAAGTCAGAATTCTGAGAAAAAAATCACAGCTCTGAGATTAAAGTCAGAATTCTAAGAAAAAGTCAGAGTTCTTAGATTAAAGTTAGAATTCTAAGAAAAAGTCAGAGTTCTGAGATTAAAGTTAAAATTCTAAGAAAAAAAATCAGAATTCTGAGATTAAAGTCACAATTCTGAGAAAAAAATTAGAATTCTGAGATTAAAGCAGAATTCTGAAATAATGTCAGAATTCTGAGGAAAAAGTTAAAATTCTGAGAGAAAAAAAATCAGAATTCTGAGATTAAAGTCAGAATTCTAAGAAAAAGTCAGAGTTCTGAGATTAAAATTAGAATTCTGAGATTAAAGCAGAATTCTGAGATTAAGGTCAGAATTCTAAAATTAATGTCAGAATTCTGAGGAAAAAGTTAGAATTCTGAGATTAAAGTCGGAATTCTGAGATTAAAGTCAGAATTCTAAGAAAAAAAGTTAGAATTCTGAGATTAAGGTCAGAATTCTGAGAAAAAAAGTTAGAATTCTGAGATTAAGGTCAGAATTCTGAGAAAAAACATATTAAAATGAAATAATGTTTAAAAATCAGTTAACTTTTTTTCATTTCTTATGTGGCCCTAATCCTCTTCCATACTGAATAAATAGAGATCATTGGTAGTCACCCAAATGTAGTCATTTATTATTTAATTAGCAAATGTTACATGTGAGTCTCTACCGCCATCTAGTGGCCTAAACGTTGTAAGTCGGGCTCTTTTATTTTGAAAGTCGAGGAGCGGAAGTTCTTCTCCCCAGCCCACCTCCTGAATTGACGGTGCCATGTCAGAGTGAGGCAGTATTTCAGGGAATCGCCAATCGGTGAGCTCGGCCTGTCGGTGTGGGCATGAGAGGAAGTCAGGAGCTTTAACCTGGTAGTTCCCGGAGTACAGGCCGCCGCGCGCTACCGTACGGCAGCGTCTATCCGAGCGGGACGACCCGGCTGCTGCTGGCGCTACTCCCCCCCCCCCTCCCTATCCCCCGGCTCGCTAAGCTAGCTCCCACCCGGAGAGAGAGAGCGAGAGCGCGGGGCCTCTGGCTGCTACAGATACTCTGACGGTGTCCTGGAGCCACATCCTGCTGAAGATGGGTGAGTGGACGGCTAACCGAACGGCTCACTCTGAGCCCAGCTAGCGAACCAGTGTGTTCATTCATTGCAGACATGGCGGCTCCACCGCAGCAGGAGCCTGGGTCGGACTCCTACTCTGCTCTCTGGAGGGCTTGTTCCTCAGAGGAACAGCTCGCTGGGACAGAAATGGGTGTGCACGCGCGCGCGCGCCGCTCTCGGGTGGGGTAGCCTCTGCATCTCCATCCTCCCTGAGAGCTCCTCAGATGGGCTCTGGCTCGGCCTGTTGGCCCCTGGAGGGGCCCCGCTGTGAGAAGGATGGCCGTCTGCTGAAATGGTAGTGAGGTGATGGAGAAGATGGCTCTGCTCCATCTCCTCAGCAGTTATGCAATAGGATCAAGCAGCCCACCTTGTGCTGATGTTTACGCAGCTCCCACTGCTGTCTCTAATGGTTTATTATGGAGATCTAAAGGAGCAGGTTCATAGGAGACCAGCTGGGACTGATCCCTCTCTGTCTGCAGTCCTACTCCAATTGAATTCAATTTATTTACATAGAGCCAATTCACATCATGTCATCTCAGGTCACTTTCCAGTTCACCAGATCATCCAGTCAGATTGATTCAAAGTTTTCTATCTAAGGAAAACCAGCTGATTGCATCGGCTCATTGACTCTTCAACAATCCCTCACACTAAGCATGCTTGTAGCGACAGTGGAGAGGAAAAACTCCCTTTTAACAGGAAGAAACCTCCAGCAGAACCAGGCTCAGTGTGAGCGGCCATCTGCTGAGGCCCACTGGGGTTCAAGGAGACAGACATAGAAAAAGAAGCATAGATACAAAAGGCAACTGTCAACCAGCTCCACAGGCGGCCCCGTCCAGGAAACACACAGCCAGGCAGACGAGCTCCAAGCCAGCTCCCATGTCAGAGGATGAAGAGAGCACATCCAGTTAGTCCCGGTCAGAGAAACAGGACCACACTGGAAAACAGGCCAAGCTCCAACATCTAGAAACAAAGGTGTTGATGGCAGCAGCACAGCTGATATTTCTCTCCAGGATGGAGTCACAGCCAAACAGGAACAGACCAGATGAAGCTACTATGAGAAAAAGCAGAGAGAGCAGAACGTTAGAGATTGAACTAACAGATTCTGCAGAGTGGGAGAATAGAGATAGAATGAAGCAGAATGATGAAAAAGGGGTCCCTATGTCCTCCAGCAGTCTAAGCCTATAGCAGCAGAACTATAGAGATAGCTCAGGATAACCTGAGCCACTCTAACTATAAGCTTTATCAAAGAGGAAAGTTTTAAGCCTAGCCTTAAATTTTGTTAGGACTCTATTCTCGTAATGTCATGACTTTATTCTTAAAAAACAAACAAAAAAAAACAAAAAAACAACTAACCTGGCCCTAATACTCTGTAGTAGCTCTATCCAGAACGTTTTAGTTCCGCCTGGTTTGATTTAGTAAAATATCTTCTGATAAGGAACCTTTGGCTCTCTTTTTATTAATCAAAAAAAATAATCCATTTGCAAAATAATCGCTAGCTGCAGCCATAATCGCATTAATTACTAGAAACTTTTACTTTTAGTATGCTAGCAAGATTATTTGATTGTGAGTCGGGGGAATTTCTGGTAGCAGATGTGCAAACAGGAAGTATCTTACACCTGTAATGTAAGTCACCAAAAATTGATTGCCTTTGGGGTTAGGAAATTTATTTTCTTTGAATTAAAGGTCAAAGTTACAACTTTTATTTCCATTTAAAAAGAATAATTTTTTTTTTTTTTAATAATGCAGCCACAAAACACAGAAGAGTTTCAGAATAAAGGTATTCATTTCACAAAAAAAACATTTCTGTAAAAAGATGTTTTTTAAAATGTTGACTGGTCTGAAATCTTTGTAACGCAGAAAACACTTCAGATCATCAGGATTCATTCGGCAGGAATTGTAATTTGATAACATTACAATTTATTGGCTGAAACGCCCTTATTTCCCTCTGATTGGCTACTGGGCCTAGTGGAGCCAGATTAATCAAGGCCTCTGTGTCTTTTCTGTTTTTTTTTTGAAAGCAAAAGACTCTTTACAGGAAACCGCAGGAAAAACCACCTCCTTCGATCCTTTCTCCTCTCCTTAATGCCCAGAGTCAATCCTAGTTTGTTGACGTATTTCTCCACCTGCTTGAAGAGAACCACAGATTCACAGTTTTTGCTTTTTTTGAGCTTATATTATTATGAAAACCTTCATGTTATTGGAAAAGCAGCAGCAGTGTTGCCTGGCATAAGGAATCGGTCTGTTTCCTTATAAGAAGCAACCCGACGCACTTCCTGCCAAACATTAATCTGTTCATGATTAACCTTCTAACCACAGATCTGATCACCTACACCTGCTGCCGGCTTATTTCGGGCTCTGCACCGGTGGGACATGATGCCGTAGTCCTATTTTTCAGAGAAAGTCATTCTGACGTTTTCTTCTCCAGGAAATGATGCAGGAAATCGTTCTCTCAGCTGAAATGTCGTTTTTCTTTCCGTTAGCTGCAGCTTCTGGCACATGGAGCAGTTTTTGATGCATATTGATAGTTGCACATAGTTCACCTACTGATTATTTTAATAGTCTATTATATTGTATTAATCTAGTGATTATTATTTATTTATTTATTAGTCCCTTTGGTGCCTCTTTTTGTCCTTTACTGCTTACCTTTTATAAATGAAAATGCTTAAATATTAAAAAGGTAATATTTTTGTGCAGGACAGAACTAGAACAAATAAAGTTTTGCAAAAACAAAATCCTTGCAGGGATTAACAATGCGTATCCTCTAGGGATGGAAAGGTTTATGAAAACCGTCCGAACCGTTCGGTTCGACTGTCTCGGTTCGGTTCGCGTGTGTTGCGTTCGGTTCATGCGCTGCTCTTTTTTCTCATAGGCGAAGCGTTTACACTCCAGAGCAGAAGGTGGCGGTACTGTGACCGAAGCCAACCACCAGTAGTAAACAAGAAGAAGAAGAAGCGAAGCAGCGTAGCCGGGTGAAGCAGGGAAAAAAATCAGTTGTTGTGGAGAATTGTGTGGGTATGGCGAGTGGGAAAGAACAGGAGTTGGAAGACGCGCCAGCAGCACTTTATAGGTCTGCTGTATGGGACCACTTTGCATTTAGAGTGACCTACGATGACGGCGGAAAGAAAGTTGTGGAAGTGCAACAGTGTGCAAGCATTGTGCAACACGTTTGGTTAAAGGAATAGTACACCCAAAACATGATAAGCCTTCATTTTCTACTCACCCCCATACTGAACAACACTCTGGAGTACTTTTTTGATATCTCAAATGCATCTGGAGATCTGGGAGGCTTCTTGCTGTCTGCTGACATTCAAATAATGGAGGTCTATGGCGCCCGAGACAGAAAGGTCCATAAAAGTCCACAAAAAACGTGTCAATATTCCTCCGTACTGCTCGTCCAATGTATTCCAAGTGTCCTGAGTGGGTAGCGTCCAGAATTTACTCGAAACGAAGTCATTTAGAATGTTTTTAGAGCATAAACAGTAGTGTATAGGATTTCCTGAAAGCGCGTTCACGAGTCTACGGAAACCGCGGCAGACCAAACCAGACGAAAGTGCGCATTCAGCGTCTGCTCTGCCGATAATGCAAGCGTAGAAGAAGAAATGTGCTGTTTACCTGTGCAAAGAAAGGAACAACAAAAGAAAAATGTCTGAGGACTTCAGTGTTGAGGAAGAGCATGAGTTCCTTGCCGAGCTGAATGCGCACTTTCATCTGGTTTGGTCTGCCGCGGTTTCCGTAGCGTCGTGAACGCGCTTTTAGGAAATCCTATACACTACTGTTTATGCTCTAAAAACATTCTAAATGACTTCGTTTCGAGTAAATTATGGACGCTACCCACTCAGGACACTTGGAATACATTGGACGAGCAGTATGGAGGAATATTGACACGTTTTTTGTGGACTTTTATGGACCTTTCTGCCTCGGGCACCATAGACCTCCATTATTTGAATGTCAGCAGACAGCAAGAAGCCTCCCAGATCTCCAGATGCATTTGAGATATCAAAAAAGTACTCCAGAGTGTTGTTCAGCATGGGGGTGAGTAGAAAATGAAGGCTAATCATGTTTTGGGTGTACTATTCCTTTAATAGTAACAGCAACACGACCAACATGTCAGGCTAACCCCGAAATCCCACATACTCCGTCAGCGCTCCGCCCCGCTGCGCTCCAGACCGGCTGCTCAAAGCAAAGCCTGCAGCCTCCACTGTGGCTGTAGGCTTTGCAGTTTGGATTACGTACGTAAAAAAATGCTAACATCTCCTTCCAGCCGCCATGAACAGCGGCGAAAACCTCCAAGAGGCAAGCAGACCTGAGGCAGCTGCTGCTGGGGATTCCCAGTGACCGCGCCGGTATGTGGGGGTCTGAGCGGCTCCCACAGAGAAATAATCTTTGAAGGCAGGATGGTAATCTGGATGAACTGACTGCACAGACCATGTTTTCAGGAGGACTTTCTCACTTCAACAGAGATTCTAACTACTTTCTAACCACTGATCACAGCTAATATAGCAAAGCCACTCTGGAGCAGCAGAATCACCGACTACAGGAGAATGACTTTAAGGAGATGACGCGGTCTGCTCATGCACTCTTTTACCCCTTTTACGCTACCCTTGAAAAACCGATCCATGCCGAGACCAGTCCAAGCTCGGTTCTGACAACCGTTTACACATCACGCTATCTCGGTTCCTCGACTCCTCGCCTCCTAGTGCCAATCTACGGTATTACTGCCAGTATTGAAGGAGGAAATCACGGAGTCGGTGGCGGTAATGCACCAAAAGTTGTTTGCCAACCGCCATAAAACACAAGAAGAAGAAGACGAAGAAGGAGGGAAGCAAGCAAATCAAAATGGCGGCGCCCGTCATATTCGGAAAGTTATGCTTGATTATTATTACTGTATTTCGGTGTTATTATTTAAAATGTTGCGTGGAGAAGATTTCGATTGTTGTTAATAGTTGAAGAAGAAGTTGTTCTTCTGTTTCCGGAGGAGCATTACCGCCAACTAGTGGAGTGGAGTGTGAATCGCGATGTGCAGCCAGACGGAGATGACACGTTCTGCTCATGCGCTCTTGTTATCAGAGAACCGAGCCAGGGAAAAACCGAGCCGAGCCCACCTCTGGAACTGGTCTGCAGTTAGCTCGGTTCGGTTCAGTTTGCTTTCCATTTACACACGATAAGTTATCTCAGTTACTGAACTCGGACCGGTCTCGGCACGGTTTTTCAAGGGTAGGGTAAATGGGGTATTTGTTATCCGAGAACCGAGCCAGAACCGAACCGAGCCCTACTGATGAGCTATTACCAGTTTATCGATACTAGGGTTGTCAAAAGTATCGAAACTCAAAAAAGTATCGATACTGAAACGTTGTATCCGGATACAATACTCGTTTTTAATAGTATCGATACAGTGCTAGCACCAGTGGCACCTAAACAGTCATTCATCTAAAGTGCAGAATAGAGGACAATGCACTTTCTGAACACTGTGTGATTGAATAATTCTACGCACTTTTCAGTTTCAGACTTTTTTTTGTAAGAGGTGCAGCTGCTGAGAATTATTTTTGTTTCTTAACCGGTTTTGCTAGTGTCATTGTTATGTGTGCAAAGCATAGCCAAGGAAGGAACACTTAATTTCAATTTTATAAGTTTTTTATCAAGCTTGCTTAATATTATGCACAGCATACAACCTTTATTGTATTTATTAGAGATGTCCCGATCCAGGTTTTTGCACTTCCGATCCGATACCGATATTGTTTTTGGACTTCCGATCCGATACCGATACTGGCCGATACCAGCCTATCCGAGCATGTATTTAAGTTTAAGTTAAAGTATTTAGCCTTAGTTGTAAGACTCATGTTGAAAAGGGTTTTAGTACTCTTGATAACATCTAGCCAGCTAAATTAGGTGAGATTGAATAAAACACAATGCTTGGTAACAACAAACTTACCTGTTTATTAAGAGATAAACACAAACTGGACAAAATTATGAATAGCAATCTGAAATTGCACAGTGAACACTAAAACCGTAAACAGTTAAAGGTGCAAGTATTACTGTAAGTTTTGATAAAAATGCAAAACAGGGGAACACTGGAGCAAAATAGTGGAATGGATCGTTTCAATCGGCGAAACTGGAAAATACGGACCGGAAAAAAAAAAAAAAACTGGATCGGCATTTTACATGCTTTGCCGATACGCATTTTTTTGCCAATATCGGCGTCCCGATCCGATACGTGGATCGGATCGGGACAAGCCTAGTATTTATTTATTGTATTTTATTTATTAATGAGAATATTACTGCAGAATTTTGGAGTCTTTGTTTTTATCCTTGTGGTATCGAAAATGGTATCGAGTATCGAATATTTTCCTTAGTATCGGTATCAAGTTGAAAAGTTTAGTATCGTGACAACCCTAATCGTGGTTTGATTGTGTCTGGCGTGGCGTTTGGTTTAGTTGTGCGTGCCATTTACACTCTACAGTTATCAACAGCTATTATTTTTTGCTTGCCACAGGTTTGCCTGCTGTGTCTAAAAGTAGCAGCAGCAGCAACCCAGACTGACAGCTCATTGGCTCATTTGGATCACGTGCAGCCAGGAGCCGGACGCTCCCCAGGGCTTTACCGTATTAACAGGAGAAGAGGCGCAAGTGAAGTTAAACACTGTCGTCAGACAACATGGGGCAATTTATAAATGTTTTAAATCAGGTGGGGTCCGGATTAGCCAGCAGGTGGGTCCGGATCCGTACTGCAATCCGCTAATCCGTGACCTCCAGGGCTCGATGTTAACCATCGCCCGGGGCAAGTTGTTTTTTTTTACAAATTTCATCACCAAAAAAATTCTTAAAAAAGCGACCCAGAAGCGTTGCTGGCACCATTTTTGTTGTTTTGTACACATTCTAGCGTGATTTGGAAAAGCCGCGTGATTTTCCGCCAGACGGTGTGTTTTTTGTCTGGGAATTGGCGCGAATCAGACACATTTTTTTTGACTTAGCAGGCTAAAAAACAACCACAAGGCAAAAAAATGTACAGTAACACACCCACCACCTATTTCACCCTCCACCCAGATAACCCTACATTACAAACAATCGGTCAGGGATTAGGAAAATTGGCATAATTGTGTATATATTTTTCCAAGCACACAAAAGTTTAAAGCAAAGTTTAGTTTGAAAAGAATGAGCAGGAAGGATTGAAAAGCATGTTAACACGGTAATGTAGGCTTGAGTTCATTATCTGACGCATGCATATACACACCAGGAACCTGGAAACTTAAAAAATACTGAATTACAAAAAAAACATTTAAAAAAACAAACATGTTTCATTGATATATATACAAAAATGAATATTAGGAACTATATTTATCAAACATTATACTGGGCAAGTAAAAATAGTTTCTGGGCAAATTAAATGTGAAAGTCACTTGCCCTTTGGGCAAGTTGTAAAAATCCTTAACGTCAACCCCTGATGTCTGTTCTAGTGGAAAAGTTTTAATTTCATAAAAAGTCTTCAGTTAAGGAACCTTAGCTGATCATAATGTCGCTTTTCTGCGCAGAGAACCTGAGAGAAGCGCTGGAGAAGTTGAAGCTTGCATCTACAGACAGCACCACGGACAGCACCGAGGGAAACCTGGACTGTCTGCTGAGCGCACTGGCCCTTAACAGTGAGTTCAAACCATACGTCTCCGCTTGGGCTTCAGACCACAGTAGTTACATTTTCTCAAATGATGATGTTCTCCTCGCGCAGACACCGAGGCTAGCAGGAAGATGCAGGAGATGGGCATTCTTCCCTTGCTCCCGAACCTGCTCAACCCACAGTCTTCCTGCACTCCTAAAGTTGCTAACATCATAGCTGAGATGGCCAAAAACGGTAGGTGACCAAGCGTACCTGGTGGGGATGGGGTTTGATGATTTGGAGAGAGGAGGAGGACTTGGATTCAATTGTCTGAGGGTATCCAGGGAATCAGATGGTTCACTCCTGACCGCACACAAAGCTTGAATAAACAGTTCATTTCCATGATTTCTCTCTGATATAAGCTTGTAGAGTAGAACGAGAGCAGAGATGAAGAGACTTTGAGCCAGGAATTGTTATGATAATGAATGGGTTCTCAGTTTGCAAGATTGCAGCTAATGATCAGTTGCCAGCAGTTAGCCGAGGCCTGGTAACGACCCGCTGGCATTTCTCTGTCACTGCGTCCGGAAATGTCTGCAATCATCCCAGTGACTGCAGGGTGAAAGGCAGATCAGGGTTTTTCCTGCAGCTATTTAGGGCTGTGCAGCAGGAAGAATGAAGGTAGAAACGTCATTCTGACTCTTCCATCGTATGCATGACCCTGGGGTGGAGGCATCATAGCCGGTCCTCCTAAAAAATACAACAACAAAAAACTAGATATTTGAGCTGCTTTCCATGGGCTATACATGTGATATGATGGGCCTAAACAAAGTTCTGTATAGTTGTGAAGTGAAAAGTTTTATAAATATTTTTAAACTGAAGAGTGTCATGCACTCTTCCCTCATAAACCGCCAAGAAAACCTCCTTCAGAGATCTTCTTTTCAGTGGATGGATCCATGTTTTTCTTGGGGAACAAACGGCTTCATGAAACCAAGGAAGAAATATATGGAATATATGGAAGAGGATTCTGACTTTAATCTCAGAATTCTCACAGCTAACAAACATGTTAGCATCGAGCCGTAGCCATGTCTGTTTTAGAGACTAGCTCTCTTGTTTTAATCACCTTCTGCTCCTCCATTATAGAAATAGAATCAGCAGGGACCCCTTTGACTCAAACTCACTGCGGATCCAGGCATTTGAATTGAGAAAGCTTCCTGGAGAGGTGGCGAAACGTCTTCAAATCTTGAAAACCAAGTCCAGTGGATATTTTTTGAATTTTTACGGAATGACTATGACCTGGATGACTGAGAACCTTCATCAGCATCATAATACTCATTATCAAAGACCAATCCTTAAATAATAATAGTTGTAAACCATAATCTGATAATATATTAATATAAAACTTTGTGTTCATCATGTTAATATTTAATTGTAAATATATAAAACTTTAAATATCTCATCCAGTTTGAGTTCAGTTTAAATAGTTTTTAATCTGAATAAATATGTGTAATCTAACTGGAAGGTAATTTTAGAATTAGTTTTGGTCTTTTAAGGGGTTTTTCACATGGAAGAGATTATTGTAATATTATGTTTGACTCGTCTTTTATGTTATTAAAATAAGATCTAAGGCGCCTCCTATTCATTCTGGCAGCACCTGCCTGAACATCGGTCTGATCCAAGATGGCCGCCCTCTAGACACGTCCGCCAGCGTCCAATCAGGCGTTTACCTATATAAAGGGCACAGCTAGCCTAAAACCGAGCTAATTACAACTACTGAATTGCTTATTTTCTACCCGATGATTTAACCTAAGTTTGGCCATGGACAATATTTTTTTGTTTTTTGTTAATTATTTATATTTTAAACACCATAAATATTGTTTATTCATAAATTATGTTTCATGTGAATCAAATTTCAATCTTTTAAAACAATACGTCGTTCTACTCATTACTCACTACTATTTATTTTCAGATTTTAAATTTAATTTCCACTATTTTAGGGGTCTAATGTGTTTTTAATTGTCCTGCAATTTATTTGCAGCCTAATTTGATTCATTTTTTGTAGCAAACTCTATAGGCTAGTATTTTTTTTACTTTAGGAAACGGCTCATTCATGTTTTTCTTTTCTTATTTTGAAGTAGCTAATGCTCTTAGACCTGTGGGAATGCATCTATCTGTGGATTTAACAAGCTCAATTTAATTAAATCAATATCTAACCACTATGTGAGCTGATCTGTCAGATAAATCCTGAACATTTTGAAACGTGACACCTGCAGGGGATTTACGGTCTCCGCTCTGAATGTGGAACATCCACGCTGATGTTTCTGTGTAATAATTGGACCAAATGCATCGCTTTCCTTTCCTGCAGAGTTCATGAGGAGTCCCTGCGTGGAAGCCGGCCTCATCCCCCCTCTGGTTCAGCTCCTAAACTCCACCGACCAGGAGGTTTTACTGCAAACCGGCCGAGCGCTCGGCAACATCTGTTATGACAGCCGTAAGTAGGAGCTAGATTTGCTTCGAAGGTGCCGAGTCAGGGGATTATTTTGTTTTGAAATCTCTGGCTAGAAGGCTGAAAAAGCTGGTTAACAATAAGCTTCAGATTGATTTTTGCTGAATGTTTTTAACTTTTTTTTTTTTCCAATCACAGTAGAAATGGTTCTTCTAAAAAAAACATAAAGATTAGATCTACATCAGCAGAGATTAATCCAACTAGAATGTGAACAGTCACGTGTTACAGCATTAAGCTGTACACATTTAAATTCCAGTTCTTTTGACGATAATCTGATTGCTTTTAAAACCTGCAGCCGTCGGAGGAATTTCCTCCCGAGGTTGGTATTTATAGAGGCTGCGGGGACGTATGGCCAACTTTGATCTAGCTGCAGTGTTCTGATCACAGCTGTCAGATGATGAAGAGCCGGTCATCTGGAATCTGCTGGGATCTGCCATTTGCTCTCGCAGAGGGCTGGTTTTCTGGTGCGTGCCGAGAGAAGAAGCAGCTGCTCCCCGGTAGAAGGAAACAGACGGTCTTTGGGTCTGTTTAGGACGGGACATTTAATGCGTTTAAGGCTGCTCCGGAAACCTCATAATCATGGAGGACAAATCCTGTTTTTTTTAAGAATCAAGGTAGAAAAATTACTGGTCTAATAATTGTGCTTCATATCTAGAAAACAGGGTTCCCGCGGGTCCTTAAAAAGTCTTAAAAGGCATTGAATTCTTCAAAATAAAACTAAGGCCTTAATTGGTATTAAAATGTCTTAAATCAGTCTTTTATAGGTCTTAATTTTTAAAACAGCATAAATAGGATTATTTTTATTAAGATTTATTTTTGTAATCTAAATAAAACGTTAAAATTGACAATTTTTTTTTTATTATAAAAAAAATAAAAATAACTGCTCGCCATTGTTGGTTCCGTCCCGATAGCGGAACCAATAAAAGCGTTGTTGCGGTTTTTGTCTGGTAAATATGAGCAAGTGTAAATGTAACATAAATTGTCTCCAGCCAAGAGTTTTCTCCATGGCTAAAACCAGGGAACATACATGAGGCTCAGTGGATTTAGTGCAAGAAGCGATTCAAGCTCAGAACGATGGGAATTAAGGCCGTGGAGTCGCACATGCGAAGCACGAAACACAAAGCGTCAAAATGAAGTTAGAGAAACAGCCGGTATTTCTCAGTTTAGTTCCACCCTTGTCTCTGCAACGCCTCCACTTATCACTAGGGCTGCAACTAACGATTATTTTACAAATCGATGAATCGGCCGATTCTTTTTTTCGATTAATCGATGAATCGGACAAAAAATATTTTTTATATTAACCTCTTTATTCCAAAATAAACATTTTAGACAGAACAAACAAGCACACAAGTACAGGTTGATCATTAACTGTACTGGTGCAATATGAAAAATAAATGTTTGTGTTAAAACTACGCAAACTTACATGAGAAATGTAGCTGTACATCCACAAAATATAGGCTACTTTGTTTCATAAAGTGCAAAAAAAAGACATTTTTGTTTTTAAAAGCCCCTAAGGGGTTCAAACAATAGGCCCCCCCATTTCAACAAATGAGTTTTTTTAGACTAGAAGAGTTCTGCCTTTTAAGACAGGAAAGTATAGCAGTTAAAGTTGCTACTTGAGAAAATACTGAACCATAGAGATAAAAATAGCCCTGTGATTCAAATTATAAATTGTATTTGGAATAAAAATGAGAGAACTAGGGGTGCTAAAAAACACATCCTCCAAAGACAGATATTTACATGGGAATGTGACATATAATTAATTGACATATTACTGATCTTGCTGGATTTTATTCTGCTTTACTTCCATAAATTGCAGGATCTTCTTTACTTTATCTTTGCCAGAAGGTTTAAACTTTAAAAGCCTTGCCCTCATAAATTGCAAGTGAATTTATTTATAAAGTAAATATAAACGCTGCTTAAGCTAATTCAAATGAAATTAAAAGTAAAATAAGTAGCCAACCTCATCACTGTCTGTAACCTACTAACAAGCTAAGGAAAGCATCAGATGAGCTACCTGAGAAACTAACGTTACGTTTCCCCACTTTAAAACCAAACAAACATGGCCGCTCACCCTGCTGATCAGCTCTCTTCACTGCCATCGAAGGCTCCAGCGTGTTTTCTTTTCAGGTGCTGCATCATAACAGTGGTGCTTCCGTGTTCATTTGTTTTTACAAAAGTTGCATGTTACGACTTTTTTCACTGTACAAAGCGCAGGCTATTTTAATTACTGTGATCAGTTTGCGCCGTCAATCCCGGCGCATGCGCGCTTCATTTGCAGTCTGGACGCGGAGGTGCGGCTCTGACTGCAGCGCTGAGAGGGACTCCTGCGGGAGCGCCGCGGGAGAAAGGGTTGGGATGGGAGAGGCGCCCCGTGGGCAATGACGACGGCGGCGGATGACGCATTAATCGCGCGACACAACTAATCGATGATGAAATTCGTTGCCAACGCTTTTAAAAGTCGATTTTTATCGATTTTATCGATTCGTTGTTGCAGCCCTAAAATAAACCTTTGGGTTAAGCTGTTGCTAGCAGGTTTTTCTTGTGTTTCTTGTGAATTTGGTCTTAAATTTTTATTTCAAGTGGCATTAAAAAGTCTTAAAAAGTCTTGAATTTAACTTACCTTATGCTGTAGGAACCCTGATTTTAAACAGAACTTTCCACATACTGGTATTATGTTAAACTGCATTTCCAATATAAACCACTGTTAGGCGCCATTTCCCTTTTTCCTCTGAGCATGGAGCAGCCGGCTTGTTTCGAAAATTGGGGTACCCAAGGGTACCTTCAAAACGGGCATTCGACAGACGCAACAAGAAGTCTTCCAATCTAAACTGGCCGCAGCCACTCGCTATGACCTAATCAGCAGATGAATCTTTCCTTCGGAGGATGCAGCCGCTGGATTCAAACTCAGTTTGTCTTCCTTCCTGTACTTATTCAGCATGAAACGTCCTGCAGCCTTTTCTGGCTTTTCAACAATCCAACTATGAGGGAAAGCCTTGGCTCTCCTTTGCTCTTCTACCTGCCAGCTTTTATAATCCATTCAGCCGATTGTCTGAACCCTTTAAACAGGACCAACGGATCCGGAGTGACATCCTGGAATGTGTGATCCAAGCTCGATTGATCAACTTCCACATATCCTGACATTATTGACATCTCCTGCAGTCAAGCTGTCGTACCCCAATGCTTTAAGGCCTTCGCAGTCATGACACAGCAAAACATCCTGCCTAAGTGATGACCATCCTGTTATGCTGACCTCTGTGGTAATAAAATGCTGTTGGACCACAGTTTGCAGCCATCCAACTTTCTCCAGTCACCCTACAGACTAACATCTCTTAATTCCATCATGCTGGGCCATCCAACTGTGCAGCTACTCCTGATGAAAACGTTACCCTTTAATTTGAAGGCGGTTGACCAGCAAAAGGACCTGATGCTCAACATGGACAACGGATATGAGCACGAACTTTCTGACCTGTTGCCATCGGGCAAACGGAACATCAACGGGAAACGAAGCAATTATTTTTAGATTTGATATTAATTAATGTTTCTTATTGTGTTTTACAGGAATAATCCTGGAGAAACTCCAGGGAAACAATAAACGGGGTTAATTTAAATAAGTGAAGCATAAAAAAAAAAAGGATCAAACACTTTCTTCTCAGCACATTACAGGCAACTTGGCACCGAACCGATTTGAACAGAATAATTTGGACTTGACTCATTGAAGCTGAGATTAATTCATTATATTTTGTTTCTTACAGGAAAATGGATTATTACTTTATTTTTAAACTTGAGATTATCATGCAGAAATATTATTTCGTTGGAATCACTTTAAAGTAAAGAAGGTTCAGATAAAACTCATTAGCCGACTCATGACTGCGTCTCACCCTTTCCTACAGCTGTTCATAACATAATGGTGATTCATTGCTTCCACCATAATCGTCTTGGAATCCCTAATAAAAGCAAAGCCTGTGTTATGAATGCTGCAGGTTGCTTAGAGAAAACAATGTTGTTAAATGGATTGTGTTATGCAAAATCAACTTGAAGCTTGAACTGTTGGAATGCCATTTCTTCATTAAAATCAAGTACTAACTGTCTGAGAAATCCGCCTGAAATTTGCTCTCTGGGGAAGAAAATTATAGCCTCGTTAGACCATCCTGATCTCGCGAGCTTTCAAGATTTCACTCGCAGATCAGTCTGGAGACTCTCCGTTAAAGAAAATTTGGAGCCGTTCACCAAACGAACGTCCAACCAGCGTTGGCTTTGAGGCGGGTTGAGGTGTGACGCAACGAGAAGCACGACCGTTCAGTCTAAAGAACATGGCGGCTTCAGACGATGAAACTAGCGTTAGCGTGGCTATCGAGCAAGTTTTATCGGAATTACAGAGTATTTCTTAACTGAAAGAAGAGCAAAGCACTGCTCTGGAGGCTTTTCTCAGAGGAAAATATGTTTTTGCTCTTCTCCCGACTGGTTTCGGCAAGAGTTTGATCCATCAATTAGCTCCTCTTCGTCGTCGCTCTTCACTTCAACGGAAGGTTTCCAGATGGATATGCGGAGCAAATCCATCTGGCGGAGTCAGGTTAAGAAAATGAGGGGCCATCGCGGTTTTATGTACTGAAGTGATTACCCACACACACCAGGAAGCACCTACCTTAGCTGCGCTGCGCCTGCCTTGGCAAGGCAAGTTTATTTGTATAGCACAATCCAGTACATTGATATTCAAAGTGCTTTACATGAATTAGATGGTAAAATAGAACAACAATAAAAGCAAGAACATTCATAAAAGAAAATAAACAGTTGAACCTAAACCTTAAACTTCAGTTAACGGTTAACTTCCAACAGTCAAAGGCAGCTCTAAACTAATGGGTTTTTAACTTTGACTTCAAAGAACTAAGGCTTTCGGCTCTTTTCCAGTCTCCTGAGAGTTTATCCCAGATCAGTGGAGCATAGACGCTGCTTCTCCGCGTTTGGTTCTAGTTTTGGGTGGACAGAGTAAGCTGGAACTAGAAGACCTGAGTGGTCTGGGAAGTTGATCCACTGACAACAAATCTGTTATTGATTGAGGTGCTTATCTATTCAGGGATTTCGAGACTAACAAAAGGATTTTAAAGTCGATTCTCTGAGCCACAGGGAGCCAGTGGAAGGACTTCAGAACCGGGCTGATGTGCTCTACTTTCTTTGTTTCTAGAAACAAAGGCTCACTTTCTACTATCAGTTAATGGCGAAATAGGGTAGAGCACGATCATGTCTGCTCAAACTTTAGATAAATTGGCTCTTTCAGCTGCCAATCTAAACCCAGTGACAGCAGCTTTTTTTTTTTTTTTTTTGTCTAAGTACGATATTTTGGAACTAGCTACTGCTCAAACTGTACGATGAATTCACAGGGTGTAAAATTACACAGCGCACGCTGTATTTTCTTACACTGTACGACCCAATGCTCCGGTGATCTGGGTACCTGCTCGCGCTGCACATCCAAAAACCGCACGTCGGACTTGGCACCGCAAGATGACGCTGGTCGGACAATCTGGAAGAAGAAGAAGAACTCCTTTGTTTGCACATGCGCAGTGCGCAAGGTCCTGGTAAATCTGCTCGTAGCTCTGCTTCAACAGCAGGATTTACCCAAGAATACCTTACGAAGGCTGACTGAATTTCCAACATGTCTGATTTTCTCCCAGCCTTACAATTCCTGATCGGGACATGGTCATGAAAGGCTGATCGCCCCTCGTTATGAGCTATATGCTAAACAACGCAGGACGCTCCATGAGGCCGAATTTTGGCCCGATCCAAAAAAATTCTTGAATGACTGGAAAATTGACCTGAAAAGGGCAAAAACTCGTACAATGTATGCCCGGCTTAAAGAGGCTAAGTACAACATATAGTGTGATGCAGTTATATAGTCAAATTGGCAACATCCATCTAAAAACTGTGCGATTTGTTTTTGCCCTTTTCAAGGCGACTTTCCAGTCGTGCGAGAATTTTTCGATCAGCCCGACTTTCAGCTCGATCGAGCGTATTGTACAGGTGGGTAGCAAGGGCCGATCAGCCTCTCACTACCAATCAGGAATCGTGAGGCTGGGAAAAAATTAGACATTTTTGATTTTCAGTGATCCGTCATGGGCAAATCGCTCAGTGGGCAAATAAGGATTCTTCAGAATCATGGCGGGGGTGCAATGACTAAAATGGAGTTCCTTCTGTAAAACTGACAGACCGTAGTAGCCACGTTTGCTCAGCCATGTATTTGTCCAAATACATCGTCGACTTTTCTTTTTAGGGGTATTCAGCACAAAATTGCACAAATTGCCAAGGCAGCGCGTTTCACTCTAGTGAGCTTTATATTTCTCTTCTACTTGTTTGGCTTCCAGATAGACGAGTCCGAGTAGCGCCGTCTCGCTGAGTCCCACCTGGTTTTTAGATGTACAGTGTGAGCAGGTAGATCGCATCAGAGTGTCGGGTCGCACAGCGTGAGAACAAAGTGAGCTGAGAACTTGCACTGTGCAACAAAACTGCAGGGTAAAAATAGTTAAGAAGAGCTGCCTAGTAGTAACGACAAGGTCCTTTCCTCCATGTTGGAAGAAAAACAACAATATTTCATGACAAATTAATCCTCTTTAATAACGAAGGCAATAGTTCATCAAATATACGCCTTTAGTTGACTTTGAAAGGCTTAATAAAAGCAGGAAACTTTGAACTTATTTTTAAATTGTTTGATGCTTTTCAATAAGATAATTTTAGAAAATTTTAAATGTATGTAACTTGAAACCTTTGGTTCTGAGAAATTAGTATGTGCCAATAGGCTTTTTAAAGATCAACGATTGGTCATATTGCACAACTGTTCAAAAAAAGCCAGACATGTCCTCTCAATCTGACACTAGAGCTTTTACAAGGTAGAAAAACCCTGAAGACTGAGCGTTTAAACTGATCAAGCGATAACTATTTACCCGTTATTACCCTTTTATGTGTTATTTTTCAGCAGGTTGATTGATTTCCTGTGGAACTGGTGACTAAAATGTCCCACTTGTGCCTTTTTTTTTGTTTACACTACAAACATGATCTGGAAATAAGAAAAAAAATCTTAAAGTAGGTGCATCTACCTTAATTTGAGAAGGTAAATAAGATGATTTGCCAATGGAATAAGATTTTTTTACTCTTACAATTAGGTATTTAGATGATGTTGTCAGAAAAGCCTTTTAGTCACCAAGACAGGTTGTGGTAGAACAGGTTTTTGCTGAGTTTCAGGAAAAACAAGCAAATCTAATGAAGCAAACATTCCTGAGTTGAGCTCTTGGCATATTTCTTCAGTACTGTGATCATATCTGTACCCATTTTTTTGGATTTTACTCTTGCGTCACATTTATTTCAAAACGCTCGCCAGCAAAATAAAAATTCTTGATTGTATGTTAAACTAGTTCTGTGTGGGTGTGCAGGTGGCACAGCGGTTAGCGCGCACGACCCATTTATGGAGGACTTAGCCCTCGACGCGTCTGACGCGAGTTTGAATGCGACCTGTGGTCCTTTTCCGCATGTCTCTCCCCCTCTCTCATACCCCCTTTCTTGTCAGCCCACTGTTGAAAAAACGAGCAACCAATGCCGTAAAAACTCAAAAAAAAATTTTTTGCTCCGCATATCCATCTGGAAACCTTCCGTTGAAGTAATTTTGGGAAAGGGCGAAAATACTGGTTAGCTGATTGGCCTATGTTGGTGATAGACGGGCCGAATAAACCAATCAGATCAACAAAGCATATGACGTACTAACAGAGCGACGACGAAAACACAACCACAAGCCAGGCTAACTCTTGCCGAAACCGGTTGGGAGAAGAGCAAAAACATCTTTTCCTCTGAGAAAAGCCTCCAGAGCAGTGTTTTGCTCTTCTTTCAGTGAAGAAATACTCTGTAATTCTGATAAAACTGGCTCGATAGCCACGCTAACGCTAGTTTCATCGGCTGAAGCCGCCATGTTCTTTAGACTGAACTGTGGCGCTTCTCGTTGCGTCACACCTCAACCCGCCTCAAAGCCAACGCTGATTGGACGTTCGTTTGGTGAACGGCTCCAAATTTTCTTTAACGGAGAGTCTCCAGACTGATCTGCGAGTGAAACCTTGAAAGCTCGCGAGATCAGGATGGTCTCACGAGGCTAGGTTTATCTACCACCGCACAGCAAAATCACACATGCGTGAGAAACTGCCACTCCGAGAGGAGAAAATCGCTCTCCGCGCAAGCTAGCTCTTCCCAGGCTGTGCTTGGGAATGTACTGGGGAGCTCACCCCACGCACGATTTTCTGTCCGGTGGCTGTGCTCTCGAAAGCACCTCTGCCCTCAGACTGATTTTCTCCCCGCGTGAAGGAAGCTGTGTTTTGACAGGTTGGGCGGAGACAAACCTATTCTGTAAAGGCCTGGTTATCCTCCCGCAGCAGTGTGTCGCAGTGAGCTTATCGCAGATATTTTTGATTTATGCCCAATATTGAAGCGTGGTCTGCGCTATGTTATTCCACACAACAACGCAAGAGGGACAGTCAGGAACTAGCTGTGGGTCTAGATACGGCCGAGGCGGTGAGGAAGTGGAGGCGAGTTTGTGCAACAACGGAGGGACATGAGGGCAAAAAAGAGCGGGTATCCAGGTGGAAAAAGGGTCCCAGAGTTCTCGCGCACCTCGCTCTTCTAGTTGGTCTAACTTCACGAGTCGTTTTCCACAATGGCGGTCATACAAACAAAACAAGCCGGTAAGGTACCAAACAGGATATATGCATAGTGTAGAGTGGATGTAGATTTGACCAATCAGAGGCCTCCTGTCTTAGCCTCGTGAGACCATCCTGATCTCACGAGCTTTCAAGGTTTCACTCGCTAATCAGTATGGAGACTCTCTGTTGAAGAAAATTTGGAGCCGTTCCCCAAACGAACGTCCAATCAGCGTTGGCTTTGAGGCGGGTTGAGGTATGACGCAACGAGAAGCGCCACAGTTCAGTCTAAAGAACATGGCGGCTTCAGCCGATGAAACTAGCATTAGCGTGGCTATCGAGCAAGTTTTATCGCAATTACAGAGTATTTCTTCACTGAAAGAAGAGCAAAACACTGCTCTGGAGGCTTTTCTCAGAGGAAAAGATGTTTTTGCTCTTCTCCCGACTGGTTTTAGCAAGAGTTTGATGTATCAATTGGCTCCTCTTCGTCGTTGCTCTGTTTCGTCATATGTTTCATTGATCTGATTGGTTTATTTGGCCCGTCTATCACCAACATAGGCCAATCAGCTAACCAGTATTTTCGCCCCTTCCCAAAATTACTTCTACGGAAGGTTTCCAGATGGATATGCGGAGCAAATCCATCTGGCGGAGTCAGGTTACTCCTGTCTGCGGTCACCTACAATTTGGAAGAGGTGCAGCAGAGTGACTGCGGAGGAGGCGGAGGTGCATTTGCATTCACTGCAACACACATGCAGCGACCTGGTTTCTGAGTATAAATCAGCTTTAAGCCTTCTAAATGGGCCTTGAAGATGCGATCATACGCGAAGAACGGGAAGCCTTTGACTGACGCTTGCCACTTACCGCAAACGTCCGTTGATGATGAGCTGTCAGTCATAGGCTGGCGCGTGGGAGGAGCTAGCTTGCGCGGAGTGCGATTTTATATATATTTTTTCTCCTCACGGAGGGGCAGTTTCTCGCGCATGTGTGATCTTTTTCTCTTGCGGTTGTAGATAAACTATGCGCAGAAATATTTTAACATGCGTGCGACTATGTTTATTTTTCTCGCTGGCGTTTTGAAATAACTGTGACGCCATATTTTACTGTCACTGCTTTGTAAGCTGTCAGCTCTGTGTTCATCCTTTTTTTTTCTTCCCAGTTGTGTTTATTTATTTATTTTTTACTTTGCTTTGTGGTTGATATATATCCATATACATATTTTTTGTCCTGGCCTCTTTGTTTTTCAGATGAGGGCAGGAATGCTGTTGACCTGGCAGGAGGGGCTCAGATAGTAGCTGAACACATTAAATCCCTCTCCCAAAATACCAACCCTGAAAATGCGAGGCTCTTGACTGTCTTTTGTGGCATGCTGATGAACTATAGCAATGATAATGGTAATGACCATCTCCCCCTGAGTTTTTATTTTCTTTCCTTTTTTAACTCATCTCAACTAATCAGTGGGCGTCCTCTGTCTCCTACACAGACAGTAGATGTTGAAGTAAAATCTGTACTTCTCTGGTTCAGTCTCATCTGATCCCTTTCTCTCTGTCGCATCCTCTTGCTTTTCCATCATCTTCTCTGAGGTAATCTGCCATCATTAACATTATCTGCCTTCCTCCCGGGTTCTTAGCCAGCTGGGATTTTCTAGTGTGACTCAGCTGCTAGAACGTCCTCATCAGTTACAGAGCTTGTTAGCTATTCTGGTAACATGGCTCCAGGGAGCATCAGTCTGACCGTCTATCACCCTGTTGTGAAGCTAAATGGCCAGCATGGCGTGGAGCCCTGCCTCTTGGATCCGTTTTTAATCCGTTTTTATTCCCAGAACCAGTAGCAGTTAAATCAGAATCGGCAAAAGCTTTATTTACAAGAAGTAGCCAACTCAAAATTTCCCCGCTTCCCTTGGCTGGTCCCCTTCAGTTCCTTTTTAAACATCAATCTCAGGGGTTGAGGTTAAGGATTTTTACCACTTGCCCTTTGGGCAAGTGACTTTCACATTTATTTTGCCCAGAAACAATTTTTACTTGCCCAGTATAATGTTTGATAAATACAGTTCCTAATATTCATTTTTGTATATATATCAATGAAACATGTTTGTTTTTTAAATGTTTTTTGTAATTCAGTATTTTTTAAGTTTCCAGGTTCCTGGTGTGTATATGCATGCGTCAGATAATGAACTCAAGCCTACATTACCATGTTACTTTGTCTTCAGTGTTCCATGCAAAGCATAGATCTATGCATCAAGCATAAACCAACCATTTAAGTCTCCTCAGCGCTGCTTGGTATCACCAAGCTGTGAAGGGAGTTTGCTTACTAAACAGTTTACTTCTGAATTTTGTGAAATGGATCTATCCCTGATTTTAAGTGACTCATTCATGGAGCCTAAAACAAACGGGTTTGTTTTCCAGCTGGAAGAGGTTTTACCTCCCCCACCGCCTCTCTGTGATACCACCATGTGCTGCCTTGTATTTGGGGCTACTTCAGTCAGATCATCTTAAAACCTCTTGCACCTACTTCATGGTTCATCCCTTTAGGGCGAAAAGCAGACATCCTGCTGCGTTTTCCTCCTTCTGCACTGCAGTGCTTCTGTTTCTTTGCTGTCCCACTCTGCATTCCTGCTGTGGTATTAGCTTTTCTCTCACATGAGGACCAGACGAATGCATTCAAGAAATTAGCCGCTAGAAATAACTCTATATAATAATATCTAATATAATTAATGAAATCAGGAAGTTTTGTTAGCATTTGTTTGTATTGTATGCAGTTCAGATGGAGAGTAAAGCTACGTTCACACCGCACACGCTTTGAGCAGTAAAAACGCTGCTGCTTCCTTTCTGCTGCTTGTCCACATTAAGGTCAGACGTTCAGTAAAGTGTGTCCAGATGCTTCTGCTGCTCCTGTGTTCAATGCCAGAGGGCGACTTTGCTATATTAGCTCTGATCAGCGGGTAAAAATTTGTTTGAATCTATGTTGAAGTGAGAAAGTCCACCTGAAAACATGGTCTGTGCAGTCAGTTCATCCAGATTACCATCCAGTGTTGCCAACTCCTCAGTAAGGAAAGTAGCTATTGGCTGTGCTAAAAGTCGCTAGAAGTCGCTAAATGACGTCATCACCTAGTTTGCATAATCTGCCACAGGAAGTGATGTGCATGTTATTAATGCTGTGGGAGAAATAATGTCATTACAGAAAGACAAAAAGTGAGTAAAAACACTATATAATAGTGTTTTTACTCACTTTACTAAACAATATATAGAGCTACTTTTTTTCAGGGTTTGATTCCCTCTTTTCTGTATTTTTGACTGTACAGTTTAGACTGATTCTCACCAGCAGATCAATGTTAATCTTAGAGAGGAAAACACAATGGACAAGGTGATTAGGTGACTGACTGTGGCTGTGTGAATCAAATGCTGTTATTTATTTTAAGATAAAATATTTCAAATTCAGTTATTTATTTTAGACCATATAACATTTTACATTTACATCCCGCTCGCTCCTGCCTTGAATGTAAGTCAGGGCGGAGCGGCACCGCGTGATCGATTTGCGCCGTTAATCCCGCCGGATGCGCGCTCCATTTGCAGTCTGGACGCTGAGGGTAAACATCCTGTGGCTCTGACTGCAGCGCTGAGAGGGACTCCTGCGGGAGCGGGAGAACGGGGTCGGGATAGGGGAGGCGCCCCACGGCAGCAGCTACCGCTGGAGGACAAGAGTAGGAACGATACATGCTTTCACGTAAGAATCTCCAAAAGCCGCCAGTGACACCGTAAAAAGTCGCCAGATTTGTCGCTAATCGCTTTTTTGAAAAAAAGTCGCTGGAGGGGTCTGAAAAGTCGCTAAATATAGCGACAAAGTCGCTGAGTTGGCAACACTGTTTCCCGCTCAGACGCCCACATACCCCCCCGTTGTGCTGTTCCTGGGAATCCCCAGGAGCAGCTGCCTCAGGCAAGTATATGTTAGCATTTTCAGGTATGTGGTACAAACCGCTAGCCTGACGTAGTCCGACTCAATTCTAGTCAGAATATGAGTCTGATACTGCTCCATAGAGCTGTGATTATGGGGCGTTTCGAATGAACCAGGAAAAAAAATGCCTCTGCACTCAATTGGATAGACCCACAACCAATAAGAGCAACGGAGTGCGTGACGTATGTTAAGCGACGCATAGTTGTTGTCAACAAAAATCAAAGCGTGCAGTTGCACGCCTAGAATAAGAAGATGAGCCTTGATCGCGTTTCTCTGTTCCTCTTTTAAAATTAATTTGCTGTCGATATCTTCTAGAACAGACCTAATAGCAGAATCTACACACCTCAACTCTCCAGCGGCAGCCATTCTTGTTGTCACCCAAGCGCGCTTTGGTCACGTGGTTGATTACATTACTGTTGATCATCTGTCCATCATCGTATAAAGCCCACCCTGACAATTTGATTGGATCGTCAGAGGGGGGGCGATTATACTCGCGCTACTATGGAGCAATGCCAGACCGAACTTCCTGACCTCAAACCTTGTGGGCGGGACTAAGTTCGGAATGGCACCCAGGCTAACAAACCGCGGGCACCAGGATAATAAAATTGAACATATTTTGCCGTCAACATTTTAAGTTAATTCAGGCGTTAATAAACAGTTCCAGAGGAGTGGTCATAGGCATGCTGTGGGAACCAGAGCCAGACACCATTTAGCAAAAACATGGAGCAGCTCTGGTCAGAGGAAATCCGACAAATAATGGAGCAAAACAATAAAGTTCACTGACTACGCTCTGGCTACATCCTGGCTTCTTTCCATTGTTTACTTTCCTGATATCTGTCTCACTGGTGACATCATCACAGCTAACCCAGCGTTATAAGGTTACCAGACACGCAGCCGTGGGGGGGCACAGAGGCCAGGCAACTGCCAGCATGCTTTTGCTTTGCCAGTGGAATGGGAGCCAAATGCCAATTGTTAGCGAGTCGACCAATGTTTGAAAAACACGCTTAAACGCGTTATTTTCAGTGGAAAAGATGCTTTTGACTCAAAGCCTCCTCATTGGTTTCTGTTCGAATCCTTCTGGTTTAATCTCTTTAAGTTTATTCAAATTGAAACAGCTCAGGGAGGAAATAATCTTATTTGAGATACCACATAAAACAATAAGTTGGAAGTGATCTAAGCTTAAACTGGATCTAGATCATCACCATAAATCTGTTTGCTTCGTACAACCGGCTCCCGTTTTAATGGAGCCCTTCCTCAGGCGTAGGAATCCACTTTTCCAGGAGTTACAGAACCGGTTCTGTCCAGTTTGGTAGATTGTGTTTGGCTTCTTTAAGACTGTTTCTCAATATGTGTACTTGTCCGTTCTCATGGGCTCGTGTTTTTATGAAACGTCATCAGCCTCAGCCCTAGTACTGTTCCAATTCATAAGAACAGCAGACAGGGAAAGGACAAAGTCCCTGGATGTTGTTCTCGCCCCTCCCTCATTACCCAGCATGCATCAGAGCAGACTTGTCCATTCTTGAGACACAGCTATCCCAGCATGCACCGCGGCAGCAGCTTCCAGGTTAGCGCTCACAGAGCTCAGAGTATAAAGTTAAAAGTTATTTTTTCTGTTGCCGATGTTATATTAAAGTTTTTCATGATAGGACTCGTGCGCGCATCATGAGAGAGGGGAGGATGGAGAGTGAGGAGGACTCCAGCAGCAAAACAGCGCTTTCTAGATGGAAATACTGGTGTTACGTCGAGCTGCGTTTCCCCATCAGATACGGTTTCCCCTGCATCTCCGCACAGCGCGGCGGCACGATTTACCGCGCAAGCGACAGGAAACGCGCATACTCGCTAAAGGCGCGTAACTGCTCGCGCCACAGGGGAACTATGGAGAGTGTGAACGATCATTAGCCTATATGGAGAAAGGGAGAAATATGGATGGATGGATGGAATAGATAGATAGATGTAGCTACATGTTCCAGTATCTATAACAACCCAAACACAGGATTTCAGAATTAGACATCCCCAATTACTAATTTCATACACTCGCAAAAGTAACGCAATAGTTACTTTTACTAGTAACAAGTTACTTTTATTTTAGAGTAACTCAGTTACTAACTCAGTTACTTTTTGGGAGAAGTAACTAGTAACTATAACTAATTACTTTTTCAAAGTACGATGGCGATTTTATTTGTTTTTTTTGGCAAAATATTAATTTGATTTGTGTTTATCTGACTTTGGTGACTATTATTCTCCCACTAAATGTAAAAAGTCGTAATTTATTATTATCTAGAGACTATTAAAGGAGGTGAAATGCAGCTCCAGATGTGCCAAGCGTGTGGTGACGTCATCAGTACACTTCTCTTCCATTTGACCCATATGCATGCTGCCTGCTCCCGTTTTCACCAAGTCCAGACTTTCCTGTGTTCTTCTCAAGAACATACTTGGTAAGAAAACACGAGTCCGTAATCGTATTCTTGTGAATTGAGAAACAGCGAAAAACTTTCGGTTATTCTCCTTTACCGGTTTATACCTGCTACAGCTGCCGTCTTCTTCATCCTGCTTCCATTGTCCTGGAAACTGTTTCTGGACTTTATGTTACAGACCAAAGCATATTAATGGTTCCCGTACAATGGAAGGAAAATAAATCAGATGTTTTCTTTTAGCAAATATTAGACTGAAAGGTGTGGCATGCATGCTCCCTTTAGACTGATGGCTCACTTCATCTTGTAGGAGGAGACGGTTTCTTTGAAGCAAAGAATCCTGCTTAGTTTTACAAGATGCAGGATGTGGAAAGTTTAGTGGATGGATGATAATTGTGTGAAAAAGGTTCGTTGGGAAGAGTTTGGCTGAGTACCAGTCCATGAAGACATGGATGAGCCCTTCAGGTGTGGAAGAACTTGATAGGAGTTTGTAGAGTTGAGTTTACCCCATTTACACTACCCTTGAAAAAAACCCATCCATGCCGAGACCGGTGCGAGCTCTGATCAGTTAACCAGGCCGAACACATCACGCTATCTCGGTTCCTCGACTCCTAGTGATGATCTGCGGTATTACTGCCAGTATTGAAGGAAGAAATCAAGCAGTTGGTGGCGGTAATGCACCAAAAGTTGTTTGCTAACCGCCATAAAACACAAGAAGAAGAAGATGAAGAAGGAGGGAATCAAGCAAATCAAAATGTTGTGTGGAGAAGATTTCGATTGTTGTTTATAGTTGTTCTTCTGTTTTTTGTTGGTTGGCAAGCAACTTCCGGAGGGGCATTACCGCCACCTACTGGAATAGAGTGTGAATCGCGATGTGCAGCCAGACGGAGATGATGCGTTCTGCTCATGCGCTCTTGTTATCAGAGAACCGAGCCGAGCCCACCTCTGGAACTGGCTTGCAGTTAGCTCGGTTCGGTTGTGTCTAGCTCGGTTCGGTTCAGTTTGCTTTCCATTTACACACCATAAGTTATCTCAGTTACTGAGCTCGGACCGGTCTCGGCACGGTTTTTCAAGGGTAGCGTAAATGGGTTAATTGTCTCGCCGTGCTTCTGGGATCCACATGCCAGAACCTTAACGAAGAGAAGCGGAAAAACTGTGCTTTTGGTCGTTTAGTGCTTGTGTTTTTCCTGCTACTTCATTTCCACGCTACTTTTTCAAACAGATAAAATCCCCATGAACAACAGAGCGTTGAAGGACTTTTGACATGCACCTCCTCTGTCCTGGTTTTAGGTTTGCGTTGAGGCGGGGGAAGAGTTTCATGCGTTTAGCAGTTTAGCACCACAGCAGAAGGAATTAGAGATGGAAAGATTGGCTGGTTTTAGGACCTCGCCATCTTACCTTTGGCCATACAGTTTTGGACATATTTGATATAAATTAGGAAAATTAGCAGCTCAATAAAATTTTAAATTTTTTTATGGTTCTTTTAGTTGAAGCATAGGATCCTTTTAGGTCCAGTTTGATATTTAAACCAGTGGAAGAAAACAAAATGCTCCCATTTAGTGGGACATATTTGATCAAATGGGGCTATAAAGGGTTGAGTCTTTGCTAAGAAAGATGATTCTACCTGTTTCTGCTTTTTCTTCTATTCTGGCTCTTGATAAAAAAAAAAAAAAACTCTTAAACATTGTTTTATTTTGCCTCATTTTCTCTCTTTGTCTCTAATGTGCAAACGTCCTTTCAACATGTTTTTGTAATCCCTAACGACAGCACCTGTATCCTGACATTAACATTTTTATTATTAATGTTCCCAGTATCACAATAATACAGTTTTTTTCAAGAGTCTTTGTTGCGATGTTGTTCTGTCTTCACGTCGTCACAGCCGTGGCTGGTAGATGATCACCTCAATCAGATTCATAATATTTCATCTAAGGTTGTTCAATTAGGATTTTTTGCTTGTTTTTCACCAAGCTGTTGTTGTATAGTTTACGAAAAAACCCAAATAGCCTCAGTTCATTTCTTTTCATCTTTGTGTTCCTCCAGATACCCTACAAGCCCAGCTGATTAACATGGGTGTTATTCCCACCCTGGTGAAGCTGCTGGGCATCCACTCTGACAACACTGCACTGACAGAAATGTGTCTGATAGCCTTTGGGAACTTGGCGGAGCTGGGTGAGTATAAATGCGGTTTAAGAATTCCACGTTAAACCGAAATGAAAGGGAGAACATACACTCACCGGCCACTTTATTAGGTACCCCATGCTAGTAACGGGTTGGACCCCCTTTTGCCTTCAGAACTGCCTCAATTCTTGGTGGCATAGATTCAACAAGGTGCTGGAAGCGTTCCTCAGGGAGTTTGGTCCATATTGACATGATGGCATCACACAGTTGCCGCAGATTTGTCGGCTGCACATCCATGATGCGAATCTCCCGTTCCACCACATCCCAAAGATGCTCTATTGGATTGAGATCTGGTGACTGTGGAGGCCATTTGAGTACAGTGAACTCATTGTCATGTTCAAGAAACCAGTCTGAGATGATTCCAGCTTTATGACATGGCGCATTATCCTGCTGAAAGTAGCCATCAGAAGTTGGGTACATTGTGGTCATAAAGGGATGGACATGGTCAGCAACAATACTCAGGTAGGCTGTGGCGTTGCAACGATGCTCAATTGGTACCAAGGGGCCCAAAGAGTGCCAAGAAAATATTCCCCACACCATGACACCACCACCACCAGCCTGAACCGTTGATACAAGGCAGGATGGATCCATGCTTTCATGTTGTAGACGCCAAATTCTGACCCTACCATCCGAATGTCGCAGCAGAAATCGAGACTCATCAGACCAGGCAACGTTTTTCCAATCTTCTATTGGTCAATTTCGATGAGCTTGTGCAAATTGTAGCCTCAGTTTCCTGTTCTTAGCTGAAAGGAGTGGCACCCGGTGTGGTCTTCTGCTGCTGTAGCCCATCTGCCTCAAAGTTTGACGTACTGTGCGTTCAGAGATGCTCTTCTGTCCACCTTGGTTGTAACGGGTGGTTATTTGAGTCACTGTTGCCCTTCTATCAGCTCCAACCAGTCTGGCCATTCTCCTCTGACCTCTGGCATCAACAAGGCATTTCCGCCCACAGAACTGCCGCTCACTGGATGTTTTTTCTTTTTCGGACCATTCTCTGTAAACCCTAGAGATGGTTGTGCGTGAAAATCCCAGTAGATCAGCAGTTTCTGAAATACTCGGACCAGCCCTTCTGGCACCAACAATCATGCCACGTTCAAAGTCACTCAAATCACCTTTCTTCCCCATACTGATGCTCGCTTTGAACTGCAGGAGATTGTCTTGACCATGTCTACATGCCTAAATGCACTGAGTTGCCGCCATGTGATTGGCTGCTTAGAAATTAAGTGTTAACGAGCAGTTGGACAGGTGTACCTAATAAAGTGGCCGCGAGTGTACATAGTAGGGCTGAACGATTTTGGAAAAAAATCTAATTTAGATTTTTTTTTATGTTACCATTGCAATTTAATGCGAATTTTCCGGTTTATTCCGGTTTAAACTTGTATTTAGTATTCAAAAATTGTAATTAGTAGTCATAAATTTGTAATTTGTGGCCATAAATTATTAATTAGTACTCAAACATTGTAATTCATTGTCATAAATTTGTAGTTAGAAGCCATAATTTAAAATTACTTGTTAGGGTTGTTAAGTTTCCCCGACTTAAGTTTTCATAGCTTTATGTAAACATCAACAAAAGCAAACAAAAACAACCCACCACATACTTTCGGACAGCCAAGTGTGTGATATATTGAATATAAAAAAGAAAAAGAAAGAGAAGAGAGAAAACTAAATTTACAGTTTCTGTAAGAAAGATTGCACCGGGTCCCAGATCCTCCGGAATTTGTCCGACTTTTGATGAAGGTCATGAGTCAGTTTTTTCTACTGAGACCATAGCAGACATTTGTGATAACCACATATCAGCAGGATCTTTTAAGATAGGGAACTTGCCTGGTTTCAGTATACGCTTTACACAAGGTGTCGGGACTTTACACTTCTCTGCTTCTCAAATGAAAAACAGGAAAGCATTCTTGCAAAACATTTGACCGTCTTATGGCCTTCACACACTATTTCCAATGATGAGCGTAACATATAGAACATATAAATGAATAAAATGATAAAAACAGCAGAAATCATAATAACAGCAACATTACTACTCAAAAATTGTTATTCGTAGTCTCAAATTTGTAATTCATTGCCATAAATTTGTAATTATTACTCAAACGTTGTATTCGTAGTCATAATTTTGTAATTACTAGGGATGCACGATATAATCGGCCCCCTATCGGTATCGGCCTGTATCGTCCTTAAAACTTAATTGATTTTTAAAATAATCGTTAGTTGCAGCCCTAACAAATACCGAAGAAATGTTTTGAAGAATAAAAGCTCCACTGACCTGAGTGAAATCTGGATCCTGAGCGACGTCATTGTAGTGTCTGAACATGGCCGCTGCCTTCAGGTATTTGGCAACGTAGGCCAACGTGTCGGGTTCCCGTCCTAAATAAAAATGCCGTTAACACTTTTTTCCCAAATCGACAGTTGCAAACCCATAAAGAAGAGCGATGCCTTCAACATCCCCACAAACTGGACCCTCACCGGTCTGCTCCAGGTACTTCAAACTGACGTTGTCCACTGGGAAGAACGCCGCCGTGGCACCGTACTCGGGACACATGTTAGAGATGGTGGCTCTGTCAGCGATAGACAGCTGGGCCACTCCGGGGCCGAAGAACTCCACAAACTTCCCCACTACGCCCACCTGGCGGAGGTGCTTCATGTCCGCAGACGGAGAGAGGAGATAATATCACAAACGTGAAAACAAAGCGATCTGCTGATGGTCCTGCATTATGCTGGTGAAGATCCTCAGTCATCCAGGTCATAGTCATTCCAAAAAACTTTGTTTCCAAGTTTGAAGACGTTTCGCTTCCAATCCCAACTGAGTTGATCCTTTCCCACTATCATCGCAACCCCAACCCTTTACAGGGAACCAGAAGACTGCGCCTATTCAGCCAGGCCAACAATTCCCTTTAACAACCCCCCTTTCGGAGACATAGACAGGTATAGTAGGGATGCACGATATAATCGGCCCCCTATCGGTATCGGCCTTAAAACTGAATATCGGACATCGGCCACCCCACCGATATTCAACCCGATATTTGATCAGCTTCTGAGTTTCTAAAGTCTAAAAAAAAAAAAAAAAATACTACTTCTTCTTCTTCCTAAAAAACTTCTTTTTTACAGACTTATAAACTTCTAAAGACGAGGGAAAAAATATTGATACATTAAAATATCCCAATATCTTCCTATGCTGATATATTGCCATTTAAAAACACCATATCAATCTCTTTTACTAATGAAATATTGCTATATGTCATCGTTACGCTACAAAATCCCCCAAAAATCCCCGAAATGTTGCCATATTTTTATATGTTGATATATTGACGCGGTATCGATCTATTTTACTAACAAAATCTCACAAGAATTTGCAAAATATCGCGAGAGTTTGTAACAGAATGATGAAATTTCACGAGATTTTGAAAGTAAAATAGATCGATATCGCGTTTTTAAAAATCTATTTGATATCAGCATATGAAAATATATTTGAGTATATTATTTTTCAAAGTGTCAGAAATGGATAACAAAACTGCTATTTTCAATGACTACTTATTTTTGTCCAGCTTTAACATCAGTATCGATATCGGTTATCGGCTACATGAGTTTTAAAATATCGGATATCGGACAAAATCCCAATATCGTGCATCCCTAGTAATTACTATTTAAAAATTGTAAGTCATAGTCATAAATTTGGAATTAATACTCAAAACGTGTAATTCGTAGTCATAAATTCCATTTTTAGTCATAAATATCAGATTCATACTTGTTTTGTTGCAAAGTTCTGACATTTGTTAACTAGATGCTCCCCGATGTTTGTCGATTCATTAACGCCTTCAAATGACGTAAAGCTTCTCTATCCATTTGCTACCCATCGCTATGTGATGCTGATGTGTTAATGACGTGTAACATTTGGTATCAGTGTTATTTTTATCATGTGAATGAAGGAAGAGAAAATAATGGTGGCCTTCAGAATCGGCCCAAAACACCAGCGACCATTTTCCCAGCTGATGTTTAGGGCAGATCTAGAAACCGCAGACCTACAGACTTCTGGGTCTGATTGGTTTCCTGCTTCTCTCTGCTGTTGATAATTATTGGCCCGGTTCCTGCTTTGGAAACGCTGCTTCTTTAGCCTCATAAAGCTTCAAACTCTTGTTCATATGATTAGTTTTCCATCAGTGTCTCTAGTGATGCTTTAAATACAAGGAAACAAGACTTCCTGGTTGGATCTCATGTCCCACAGTTTGATCGTCTTTATTTCTTTCTTAAAGGAATAGTACACCCAAAACATGATTAGCCTTCATTTTCTACTCACCCCCATGCTGAACAACACTCTGGAGTACTTTTTTGATATCTCAAATGCATCTGGAGATCTGGGAGGCTTCTTGCTGTCTGCTGACATTCAAATAATGGAGGTCTATGGCGCCCGAGGCAGAAAGGTCCATAAAAGTCCACAAAAAACGTGTCAATATTCCTCCATACTGCTCGTCCAATGTATTCCAAGTGTCCTGAGTGGGTAGCGTCCAGAATTTACTCGAAACTAAGTCATTTAGAATGTTTTTAGAGCATAAACAGTAGTGTATAGGATTTCCTAAAAGCGCGTTCACGAGTCTACGGAAACCGCGGCAGACCAAACCAGACGAAAGTGCGCATTCAGCGTCTGCTCTGCCGATAATGCAAGCGTAGAAGAAGAAATGTGCTGTTTACCCGTGCAAAGAAAGAAAAAATGAAAGAAAAATGTCTGAGGACTTCAGTGTTGAGGAAGAGCATGAGTTCTTTGCCGAGCTGAATGCGCACTTTCATCTAGTTTGGTCTGCCGCGGTTTCCGTAGACTCGTGAACGCGCTTTCAGGAAATCCTATACACTACTGTTTATGCTCTAAAAACATTCTAAATGACTTAGTTTCGAGTAAATTCTGGACGCTACCCACTCAGGACACTTGGAATACATTGGACGAGCAGTATGGAGGAATATTGACACGTTTTTTGTGGACTTTTATGGACCTTTCTGCCTCGGGCGCCATAGACCTCCATTATTTGAATGTCAGCAGACAGCAAGAAGCCTCCCAGATCTCCAGATGCATTTGAGATATCAAAAAAGTACTCCAGAGTGTTGTTCAGCATGGGGGTGAGTAGAAAATGAAGGCTAATCATGTTTTGGGTGTACTATTCCTTTAAATCTGTATAAAACATCAGTAGGATGAGCAGAGATCTGAGGGGAGCAGCGTTTCTCATCCTGATTGTCACGTCTTGCATTTTTCAGAGTCCAGCAAAGAGCAGTTTGCCTCCACCAACATTGCAGAGGAGCTGGTGCGTCTTTTCCAGAAGCAGACGGAGCACGAGAAGAAGGAGATGATCTTTGAGGTTCTGGCCCCGCTGGCTGAAAACGGTAACGTTCCTTTGATATTCATCTTAAAAAGCCTCGTCAGCAGAGGACAGGGTTTGTGCGTTAGAACCGCTGCGCTGCAGTGACAGCCGGCTCCTGTTTATTTCCCCCGACTTGTTTGAACAGCAGAGAGCATCTTAGCTGCTGTTCCCACGCCAACCGTCTCCAGGACGACGTCCTACTTATCGGCACTCAGGAGACACCTGTCTAACCCTCCTTTTTATCCGCCGAGCTGTTCGTTCTGGCAGTAATGGGACGGCTTTTCCGGGGTGGGTCAGTGGAGCGATCTCAGACCGGAGGGATGCTTATTCCTCCTCCATCACAGAGTTAGCAGCAGTACAAGCTGTCTTCATGTGGGTCTGAGTCAGTTCTCTATTCCTGATGACACATTTATGATCAATTAAGGATTTATCTGACGGTAAATGAGCCTAATGAGCTTCCAGCTGAAGTCGCCTCCTTCCAACATGGACCAATGCAGCTTTTTAAGGCCGATACTAATGCAGATTATTCTGACATCAGTCTAACCGCTCCCAGATATGTGCTGCTAATTTATTTAGCAGGTATTTGAAGCAGATTTATTGTTCCTCCTCTATTTGCATGATAAAAATGACAGAATAATAATTGTTCAACAAGTTTCATTAACAGATTAAGAAAAGGGTAAAATCAGCCAATGTTTGTACGTATCGGCTGATACAAGAAAGAGCAGGAAGTAGATTTTCACTACAAAAAATTGAAATACATTATTTTTTCTAGAGCAGATAAATAAGACAATTAAATTTGATGATTTTTTCTTTAAACTAGATAAAAAGAAACTCGATTAGCTTAATTTCAGGGGCATAATAACCAATTATCTTATTTTCAGGGCCAAAATGCCCATTCTGTGGAGAAAATCATATCTACCTGTCCATAATTAAGGGCAAATTGGCCGATATGAAGAGTATTTTTACTAATTTTAGATCAGTTTTTGCAGCGCAGGTTTTCAAAAGACCAAACAGCGATTGCATTGGAAAAAATCTAAATCTAGATAAGTAATTTTTCTTAAAATAAGTGCATTTGTTCTTGAATTGAAAACGTAAAAGAGACATTTTGCCAATGGAACAAGACAATTCACATTTAAAATAAGAAAACACAATTACATTGTCTTATTTCATGTGCATATTATCTAAATATCTTATTGTAAGAGCAAAAATACTCATTCCATTGGCAAATCATCTTATTTACCTACTCAAATTGAGGGTAAATACACTTAATTGAAAAGAATTGCACTTTCTCGTATCGTTTTTCCAGTTGCGGGTGGTTTAAGCTGCAAAGCTGATCAAATTCTCCCCGGAAACTTGGCTCAAATGTTCAAAATTTCACAATGACAGATGATGGAGTTGGAAATATTTAACTTCTGCTGCTCGATGCGCGACATCAACCAATCAGAGAAGCTGATCTGGGAGCTGGCAGGGAGTCAGACACAGTGCTGCTGATGCAGAGCGCTATGATCACTCCTCTGAAACAGTTTATTAACGCCTAAATTATCTTAGAATGTAGAAACCTGCCGGCAGAATATGTTGGCTTTTATTATTAGTGTTTTGGGGTTTTGCAACATGATGTTGCTTTAAGGATTTTGACTCAAACGCTGGTTCGCGACATGCTTTATGTTACGTTAATCATGAGACCTGAGAGATGGAGGAAGTCTTTAATCCCGTGGTTTTAACGGAGATGGCTACGCAGTCGGCCCAAAGATGAAGCACTTTACCAAAAAGACGGGGTACGTCTGTGATTTGGTTACATTTCGGATTTAAAGTTGTAGGGAAGTCAAGTTTACATGTCAAATTATGCTTAAACATGTATATAAATGTATTCTACATCAGACCATATTGTCCCAAAAAATCCTGTCTTAAAATCTGCGTTTTTTTCCCCCCGTTATCTTCTGCAGGCCAGTTAGTTCTACTTCAGCCTGAACACCTAAATTCGGCCAATCATAATCAAAGTTTTTCAGTCATAGCATCTTGATTCATATGTCGCAGCTAATATACGCAACGGTTGAAAACAGAATCCTTTCCTTTCCCATTGAGTTGCGTCCCAGTGTTCACGGGAATGGACGTCTGTGTCTTCGGCAGGCGTAGAGCTAACAGAACTGGCAGCGTTGCGAGGCAAGGGCTCAAACATGTACGGCTGGAAGCCTTCTACACCAAACCAAGCTTCTGCCGCCCTGGCGTCCTCTTCCACAACATCTTCGTCCCCGCTTTCCTCCTCTAAATAAAAAATGGATGACGGAGGAGACTCATCCACGACCTCCGACACTAAACTCTCCTCCTCTTGCATGTTTCCGCTGTCCATAGCGTTCCTTGACAGCGTCGTTTCTAAGTCACCAATTTAGTAACCTGATTCCGCTGGATGGATTTGCTCCGCATATCCATCTGGAAACCTTCCGTTCAAGTAATTTTGGGAAGGGGCGAAAATTGGCCTATGTTGGTGATAGACGGGCCAAATAAACCAATCAGATCAACGAATCTTATGACGTACTAACAGAGCGACGACGAAAACACAACCACAAGCCAGGCTACTCTTGCCGAAACCAGTGGGGAGAAGAGCAAAAACATCTTTTCCTCTGAAAAAAGCCTCCAGAGCAGTGTTTTGCTCTTCTTTCAGTGAAGAAATACTCTAATTCCGATAAAACTTGCTCGATAGCCACGCTAACGCTAGTTTCATCGGCTGAAGCTGCCATGTTCTTTAGACTGAACTGTCACGCTTCTCGTTGCGTCACACCTCAACCCGCCTCAAAGCCAACGCTGATTGGACGTTCGTTTGGTGAACGGCTCCAAATTTTCTTTAACGGAGAGTCTCCAGGCTGATCTGCGAGTGAAAGCTTGAAAGCTCGCGAGATCAGGATGGTCTCACGAGGCTAGTGATTTAGTGCCACTTGGTCTCAATGGAATTTCCCATTGGGAACCTACTAGCACTAAGTTGCTAACTGGTTAGCAAGATGCTTCCGACAAACCGGCCACAACCAAACCTGCTTGTGAACCTTCCCCCACAACAATCCCGCCCCCTTGATAATCGACCAATCACATTCACTTTTTTCACTCGTGTAAAGTCGGGCACCACTCGGGAGAATTCGGAATAGTTCTTGGATCCCTTTTTTCGTGTTTTAATGTAACGGTGAAGAAAACTTCCTCCAGACTTTAGTCTGATCCTCATGTTCGATGCTTTAGTCTTTCAGGCGCCTCATTGTGCTTCTCCTCCGGCAGATGTTATAAAGCTGCAGCTGGTGGAGGCGGGCCTGGTGGAGTGTCTGCTGGAGGTGGTGGGTCAGACTGTGGACGGCGAGCGGGAGGAGGACATCGCCCAGCTCAAGACCGCCTCCGACCTCATGGTTCTCCTGCTTCTGGGGGGTGAGTGTAAGAGGCGCTGCCTTATTATCACGCTCCTCTGGCTGCATCATCACATGCAGGACTTCGCTGGAAAAAATCGAAATAAGTCATTTTTTTCTTAGTGCATTTGTTCTTTATTTGAGGAGGTAAGTGAGTGACTTTGCCAATGGAACAAGACAATTTACATTTAAATTAAGATAGAACATTTGCATTGTCTTATTTCAAGTGCATCTCTGATGATCACTGCTTTTTGCCCCGTTGGTCACACAACTCCTCCTCTACCGTGCAGTGCCTGCGCCATCTTTGTCATTAGTCGCCACTGTCGGGTAGCGACGGCATATGGCGACAGCAAATCCCATAATGCTTTGCGAGGAAATCTCTCAGCGCAAAGCATTCTGTGATATTGTCTGACACCATAGCTCACTACAGATAAACGCCTGAAAATGAGCATGCGCAGAAAAAGATAGCTAACGGAATGAGCACGTAAGATGGCCTTACGTAAACATATCATCAGAATGATTGACAGCTAGGAGGACCACTAGTTGAGATGATCCACCTGGAAATAAAAGATCATCCTTTTTACTTTTTAATTAGTCAATAACTGGAGGATAGAGGCTCTGAAACCTTTAGCTGACTTAGCGACCAAATAAGAGCAATAATTAAACTGTAAAAATATACATAAATAGTTTGTATATGAGATTTTTTTTTCTTTTGTCGGTTAATATGCTCTAACCAGAACTCCTGAAGCAAACGAGTTTAAGTTTCACTTGGTTTAATTCTGTAAAAAATCTTTAGGGACCCTTTTGCTATCTGATTATTAATAGATTAATTGAAAAAATAATCAATAGATTAATCAATTAGTAAAATAATCATTAGTTGCAGCCCTAAAAATATCATAAAGTGTAAAGCCGGACTTTAGAAACTGATTGTTTGGATGAGGCTGACTGCTGATATGCACTTGGTTTCATTCGCACACTGAAAAAAACGATCTAGTCATGAGTAAAAATGTTAAATTAAGTGTATTTACCCTTAATTTGAGTAGGTAAATTAGATAGTTTGCCAATGGAATTAATATTTTTACTCTTTAAATATGATAATTAGATAATATGCACTTGAAATAAGACAATGCAATTGTTTTTTCTTATTTAAATGTAAATTGTTTTGTTCCATTGGCAAATGTCTCTTTAATCTCCTCAATCCAAGAACAAATGCACTTATTTTGAGAAAAGATTACTTATCTAGATTTCGATTTTTTCCAGTGCATTGGTGGACCCTGTAATTAGGTTGGAAACCATACAGAATGAGGGCGCCACCTACTGGCTGGGAGGCCGTCACCTTTAATGAACACAATATTAAAAAGAAAATGAGTTTGTCTCGCTAGCAGCCTTGCAGTGATGCGATAGCGTGGAAGCAGCTGTGAAGCCGCCCTCCCTCTCTCTGCAGATGAATCCATGCAGAAGCTGTTCGAGGGAGGAAAAGGCAGCGTCTTCCAGAGGGTCCTCTCTTGGATCCCCTCCCACAACCATCAGCTGCAGCTCGCCGGGGCTTTGGCCATCGCAAACTTTGCCCGCAACGGTAAGCTTTTCACATGACAGTTTTCACAAGCAAATTAATTAGCATTAGAAGGAGACGCCTGGTGTCTGCAGCAGGGCCTGCGTCCGATCAGTTCTCCTGACATCCACTCTTCCCTCTGTCTCTCTGATCAGACGGGAATTGCATCCACATGGTGGACACCGGGATCGTTCAGAAACTTCTGGATCTGTTGGATCGCCACGTGGAAGAGGGAAACGTGACCGTACAGCACGCCGCGCTCAGCGCCCTAAGGAACCTAGCTATACCTGGTGAGAGGCTCCATCCATTGGACGGCAGGAGGGTTTATCTCCAGCAAAAGCAGCAAAAAAAAGGCTGTTTTCACCTCAGCTGTAATTAACCCTGCTGCTTTTCTTTGTCTCCTCAGTGGTGAACAAATCCAAAATGCTGTCTGCTGGGGTGGCGGATGTGGTCTTAAAGTTTTTGCAGTCGGAGATGCCTCCTGTCCAGTTTAAACTCCTTGGAACGTTACGAATGCTCATCGATACTCAAGGTAAGGTTTGTTCAGAGCAGCTCAGGGTTAATGGAGAGCTACGAGTTTTAGAGAAATAAAACCAGCTTTCAAGATTAAACGCTTCTGTTTTCAACTTCCTCCCGTTATTCAATCATCTCATTAAAATAGAAAATAAATTATTTGTTTGCGGTTTTATTTATGCACCGTTAACTGTTCCACATGGTTTTTTTTTTTTTTTTTTAACCACAAAGTTCAGGGTTTAAAAGAGGGAACAGTGCAAAAAAAAATGATCTAAAAGTGGATTCAAGTGTATTTTAGCATTTAAACCCAGGTTTAAAGCCTTGCAGGGCAGCTTAGAGCCCACTGCGAACATTAAGACAGAAAAAAGAAAGAAAAATAAAAAACGAGCAGTTCAGGTGTTTTAGAGAATATAGGAATTAGGAAATTGTTACCAAACTGAGCGATTGTTGTTCTCTACTTTAAAAAAACACTTTAGATTTAAAAATGGAAGAAATTGTATATATATCTATAGATGTATAGATAGATATATATAGATTAAATTCAGTTTAAAGTTGTAGTGAAATCATATTTAAATGTCAAATCATTCTGGCTTAAAAATGTATATAAATGTAATCTTTATCAGACGATATTGTTCCAAAAGTTATAAAATTTCAATCTTTAAAAAAATTTCTGTCTTAAAATCTGTTTTTTTCCCCGTTATCTTCTGCAGGCCAGTTAGTTCTACGTCAGCCTGAACACCTAAATTCAGCCAATCATATATCAGCGGCCATCTGTCAATCAAATGTTTTCGGTCATAGCATCTTGATTCATATGTCGCAGCTAATATACGCAACGGTTGAAACCAGAATCCTTTCCTTTCCCATTGAGTTGCGTCCCAGTGTTCACGGGGATGGACGTCTGTGTCTTCGGCAGGCGTAGAGCTAACAGAACTGGCAGCGTTGCGAGGCAAGGGCTCAAACATGTACGGCTGGAAGCCTTCTACACCAAACCAAACTTCTGCCGCCCTGGCGTCCTCTTCCACAACATCTTCGTCCCCGCTTTCCTCCTCTAAATAAAAAATGGATGACGGAGGAGACTCATCCACGACCTCCGACACTAAACTCTCCTCCTCTTGCATGTTTCCGCTGTCCATAGCGTTCCTTGACAGCGTTGTTTCTAAGTAACCAATTTAGTGCTACTTGGTCCCAATGGAATTTCCCATTGGGAACCTGCTAGCACTAAGTTGCTAACTGGTTAGCAAGATGCTTCCCACAAACCGGCCACAACCAGAAAGCTTGAGAACCTTCCGCCACAACAATCCCGCCCCCTTGATAAACGACCAATCACATTCACTTTATCCACTCGTGTAAAGTCGGGCACCACTCGGGAGAATTCGGAAATGTAACGGTTGGAACAGCCGCTTCCCTCCGACTTTGAACCATTTAAACATATTAACTAAAGTGTTTCCTGGTCTGGTCAAATTCAAATCATGTTTTTTAGGGTTTTCATCTTATTTTGTCATTATTTGGTGTCAACCTGTAAAACAAAACACTCTGAAGTTAGAGGTGGAAAAGTCCATGGATCAGGAAAACTTTAAATCTGCTTTTCTTGCCAAACGTACATAAGTAAAGCTGCAGTTTACGGGGGGACCTTTACCATACTTAATGTTCACGTTTTCACCCCCCCTGTGTGCGTTGGTTCAGCTGAAGCTGCAGAGCAACTGGGAACCAATGGGAAGCTGGTTGAGAGGCTAGTGGAGTGGTGTGAGGCTAAAGACCATGCGGGGGTGATGGGGGAGTCCAACCGGCTCCTGTCGGCCCTCATTCGACACAGCAAATCAAAGGTAAACCAACAAACAGCCATTTTGTGTTTATTCTGCCGAGTTAGCTGCTCCACAATGATTCTGTTCACTGTGACAGTTTTATAGATGTGATGCAAATATATGGTAGAGAGATAAAAATAAACAACTTAATTTAGACAACAGGGATTCATGTGACAACTGGACACTTCAGGAAAAATTTTTTTTTACTGGATCTTGTTGAGAAGCATCTTTTGCTTTGTAGGAAATCATGTCATCAGGTCTGTGCTGCCTTATCAGCTGAGTAATAAACTGTAACGACAGCAAGAATCTGGCAAAATGATCAGATAGATGTCAGGAAAGTCTGGAATCTAGTCTGTTTAGATTGGGACAGTTTGGGTATAGAACTAAACAGTCTAGATGTAGACGAGGACAGTCTGTGTATAGAACTAAACAGTCTAGATGTAGAATGGGACGGTCTGTATAGAAATAAACAGTCTAGATGTAGAATGGGACGGTCTGTATAGAACTAAACAGTCTAGATGTAGAGGGGGACAGTCTGTATAGAAATAAAAAGTCTAGATGTAGAATGGGACGGTCTGTATAGAAATAAACAGTCTAGATGTAGCATGGGACGGTCTGTATAGAACTAAACAGTCTAGATGTAGAGGGGGACAGTCTGTATAGAAATAAAAAGTCTAGATGTAGAATGGGACGGTCTGTATAGAACTAAAGAGTCTAGATGTAGAATGGGACGGTCTGTATAGAACTAAACAGTCTAGATGTAGAGGGGGACAGTCTGTATAGAAATAAAAAGTCTAGATGTAGAATGGGACGGTCTGTATAGAAATAAACAGTCTAGATGTAGCATGGGACGGTCTGTATAGACCTAAACAGTCTAGATGTAGCATGGGACAGTCTGTATAGAAATAAACAGACTAGATGTTGAAGGGGACAGTCTGTATAGAACAAAACGGTCTAGATGTAGAATGGGACAGTCTGTATAGAACTAAATAGTCTAGATGTAGAATGGGACGGTCTGTATAGAAATAAAGAGTCTAGATGTAGAAGGAGACAGTCTGTATAGAACAAAACAGTCTAGATGTAGAATGGGACAGTCTGTATAGAACTAAATAGTCTAGATGTAGAATGGGACGGTCTGTATAGAACAAAACGGTCTAGATGTAGAATGGGACAGTCTGTATAGAACTAAATAGTCTAGATGTAGAATTGGACGGTCTGTATAGAACAAAACAGTCTAGATGTAGAAGGGGACAGTCTGTGTATAGAACTAAACTGTCTAGATGTATAAGGGGACAGTCTGTATAGAACTAAATAGTCTAGATGTAGAATGGGACGGTCTGTATAGAAATAAACAGTCTAGATGTAGAAGGGGACAGTCTGTATAGAACAAAACGGTCTAGATGTAGAAGGGGACAGTCTGTATAGAACAAAACGGTCTAGATGTAGAAGGGGACAGTCTGTATAGAACAAAACGGTCTAGATGTAGAAGGGGACAGTCTGTATAGATCTTTTGCTTTGTAGGAAATCATGTCATCAGGTCTGTGCTGCCTTATCAGCTGAGTAATAAACTGTAACGACAGCAAGAATCTGGCAAAATGATCAGATAGATGTCAGGAAAGTCTGGAATCTAGTCTGTTTAGATTGGGACAGTTTGGGTATAGAACTAAACAGTCTAGATGTAGAATGGGATGGTCTGTATAGAACTAAACAGTCTAGATGTAGACGAGGACAGTCTGTGTATAGAACTAAACAGTCTAGATGTAGAATGGGACGGTCTGTGTAGAAATAAATTGCCTAGATTTAGAATGGAACAGTCTGTGTATAGAACCGGACAGTCTTGATGTAGAATGGGAAAGTCTGTATAGAACTAAACAGTCTAGATGTAGAAGGGGACAGTCTGTGTATAGAACTAAACAGTCTAGATGTAGAATGGGACGGTCTGTATAGAAATAAACAGTCTAGATGTAGAACGGGACAGTCTGTATAGAACTAAACAGTCTAGATGTAGAATGGGACGGTCTGTATAGAAATAAACAGTCTAGATGTAGAAGGGGACGGTCTGTATAGAAATAAACAGTCTAGATGTAGAAGAGGGCCGTCTGTGCATAGAACTAAACAGTCTAGATGTAGAATGGAACGGTCTGTATAGAACTAAACAGTCTAGATGTAGAATGGGACAGTCTGTATAGAACTGGACAGTCTAGATGTAGAATGGGACGGTCTGTATAGAACTAAATAGTCTAGATGTAGAATGGGACGGTCTGTATAGAACTAAATAGTCTAGATGTAGAATGGGACGGTCTGTATAGAACTAAACAGTCTAGATGTAGAATGGGACAGTCTGTATAAAACTAAACAGTCTAGATGTAAAATGGGACGGTCTGTATAGAACTAAACAGTCTAGATGTAGAATGGGACAGTCTGTTTAGAACTAAATAGTCTAGATGTAGAATGGGACGGTCTGTATAGAACTGGACAGTCTAGATGTAGAATGGGACGGTCTGTATAGAACTAAATAGTCTAGATGTAGAATGGGACTGTCTGTATAGAAATAAAAAGTCTAGATGTAGAATGGGACGGTCTGTATAGAAATAAACAGTCTAGATGTAGCATGGGACGGTCTGTATAGACCTAAACAGTCTAGATGTAGCATGGGACGGTCTGTATAGAAATAAACAGACTAGATGTAGAAGGGGACAGTCTGTATAGAACAAAACGGTCTAGATGTAGAATGGGACAGTCTGTATAGAACTAAATAGTCTAGATGTAGAATGGGACGGTCTGTATAGAAATAAACAGTCTAGATGTAGAAGGAGACAGTCTGTATAGAACAAAACGGTCTAGATGTAGAAGAGGACAGTCTGTATAGAACAAAACGGTCTAGATGTAGAAGGGGACAGTCTGTATAGAACAAAACGGTCTAGATGTAGAAGGGGACAGTCTGTATAGAACAAAACGGTCTAGATGTAGAAGGGGACAGTCTGTATAGAACAAAACGGTCTAGATGTAGAATGGGACAGTCTGTATAGAACTAAATAGTCTAGATGTAGAATGGGACGGTCTGTATAGAAATAAACAGTCTAGATGTAGAAGGAGACAGTCTGTATAGAAATAAACAGTCTAGATGTAGAAGGAGACAGTCTGTATAGAACAAAACAGTCTAGATGTAGAAGGAGACAGTCTGTATAGAACAAAACGGTCTAGATGTAGAAGAGGACAGTCTGTATAGAACAAAACAGTCTAGATGTAGAAGGGGACAGTCTGTATAGAACAAAACGGTCTAGATGTAGAAGGGGACAGTCTGTATAGAACAAAACGGTCTAGATGTAGAAGGGGACAGTCTGTATAGAACAAAACAGTCTAGATGTAGAATGGGACAGTCTGTATAGAACTAAATAGTCTAGATGTAGAATGGGACGGTCTGTATAGAACAAAACGGTCTAGATGTAGAATGGGACAGTCTGTATAGAACTAAATAGTCTAGATGTAGAATTGGACGGTCTGTATAGAACAAAACAGTCTAGATGTAGAAGGGGACAGTCTGTGTATAGAACTAAACTGTCTAGATGTATAAGGGGACAGTCTGTATAGAACTAAATAGTCTAGATGTAGAATGGGATGGTCTGTATAGAACTAAATAGTCTAGATGTAGAATGGGACAGACTGTGTATAGAACTAAACTATAAAACTAAACTTTCCAGACATTCTGGATGTAGATCTGGTCTGTTGAACTGATCAGCTTGTTTGTTCCCATCTGGATGCTAAATATTATGGCTGTATGAAACCTGCAGACATTAAACGCAATAAAGGGTAAACAGGGAAAGCAAGCTGCACAATCTATTACAGATATCAGAACATGTGTAGAAAATAGGACTGTAGTGCAGTGATCGCTGGCTAGTAGATTCCAAATGCTAACGCTAATTCAGCCTGATGGACAGAATCGGAGGGAAATTCTGTAACAGGGTCAATGTTTGATTTGAATACATTGAAAAAAAACGGGAATATTTTGTTTCTCCATGTTTTATTGTGTGGAAGAACAACGTTGATCAGATGAACTTGTTTGGGATTCGAACCAATGACTGCAAACATCGGTTTGATCCCACTGATCTGAATTGTTTTGTTTTAATGTGCGGTGCAGAGGATGGTCATCACAACACTTCTTCCATCTTGTTTTGTTTCTTTTCAGGAAGTTGTCAGGACTGTGATCCCGAAAGGAGGAGTCAAGCACTTAGTAACCATGGCAACCAGCGAACATATGATTATGCAGAACGAGGCGCTGGTGGCTTTGGGGTTGATAGCGGCGCTGGATTTGGGTAAGCTTTGATCCTGCAGCTGCACGATCGACTCGTATTTAAGTCTGAATAAACTCCTGATGAAAACCCAGATTCTTCTCAGGTTGTTATAATGAAACATCGGGTCTCTGAGGACTGGACATGTCCCTTTATAACCACAGAATTTCTGTTGCCTTTAGTAGACAAACATTTAGTCAGTTGAGTGAATCCTATTTAATTGAGTCAACGCGTTTCAATTCAATTCTGTTTCCTGCATGAGAGGTTTGTTAAAAAACATTGAAGATGGTTCAGCATCATGAAGATCACAGCAGGCGAGTTAGGGGGAAGGTTCTGGTTCGGTTTAAAGTACAGTAAGGTTCTGATCGAAAAGTCTTCTAAGACTAAATATCTTGCAAGAGAGCAACAGGATTAAACACTGAAAAACAGGCCAAACACTATCACCTGTAATGGAGAGTGTCGATCCAGCCAATTCCTCCTTCCTGGATGGTGTCAAAGCGAAAAATAGAACCAGGTCACATGAAGGTACAATAAGGAGAAAAAGTAGAGGGAGCAGATAGAAACTGTCAATTATTGACAGTAAAAAATAGAAGAATATCAGTAGAATGTAGAAGATTGAGGAAAAGTTGTTTTCTTGTCCTCCAGCAGTCTAAGCCTATAGCAGCATACAACTACCATAGCAACTATAGAGACGGCTCAGGAGCAATTAGGTTACGTTCTCACTGCAGGCCTTAATGCTCAATTCCGATTTTTTTGTGAAATCTTTTCTCGTTGCCACATTTCAAAAACAATGTGATCTCCTGTGTGAACTGCATTCATAGAGCTCTAGTGTCCCGCATGCGCAGTAGAGGACGCAATGATGTCACAAGCAGGCGTGCTCTGTGTTTACGTTAGTAAACATGGATGGTAGCGCTGGAGCTCATCTAGCGATCTTTCCCAACCTTAAAAACTCAATCTTTAAGATGGTTAAAAAAAAATAACGCTCTCCGCATTAAGGCTGATGTATACTTTGAAACCAGGTGGTCTGCAGAGACGTCCTCGCCCCCCTCCGCAGACACTCTGCTGCACCTCTCCCAAATTGTAGGTGACCGCAGACAGATATTTTTGATTTACCGTATTTTCATGAATATGGCACATATAAACGTCTTTTTTTCTCCTCAAAATGTGCGGTGCGCCCTATGTGTGTTGTTACTGCGGACGTTGTTGAGACCACCGCTCGACATCTGTGTGAACCGGCCGTTCAAAGTAATGCTGTGTTCACACCGGACGCAGCAGCGAGTTTACGTGCAAAGTCAATGGTTGACGCGCGTCAAGGCGCAGCAAAAGGTCCCGCAGCCCGTTTTGAGCAGCAGGCGCAGCGCGTCGGGAGCGTTTAAGCATCTGATGCGCGTGATGTGCCGCAAGCGCGCTACTGCTGCTCTAGATGGAAAAATTTAAGTTTTGGTGCTCGACTCGCCGCATCAACCAATCAGAGACGCTGATCTGGAAGCTGACAGCGAGAGAGACACATTGCTGATGATACAGAGCGCTGTGATCGCTCCTCTGAAACAAGTTATTAATGCCTAAATTAACTTAAAATGCTGAAATCTGCCGGCAGAATCTGTTTGCTTTTATTATCCTGGTGCCTGCAGATCGGATTATTTAGATGAAAAACACCTACCAGCCGCCGCGGTGAACCGCCAGGAGGCGACCCGGCCAGAGGCTGCTGATCAGTTAAGTTTTCAGGTGGATTTTCTCACTTAAAAACATACTACTTTATTCCCACTGATCACAGCAAATATAGCTACAATGCAAAGAAAGGATAGAGTAGCTCCGCCCAACGCGCGTCAGACCCACTTTGCACCGCGTGCCAGAACTAACTGGTTCAATCTAAACTGCAGGCAGCAGGATAATAAAAGCGAACATATTCTGCCGGCGGATTTCTGCATTTTAAGTTAATTTATGCGTCAATAAACTCTTTCAGAGGAGTGATCACAGCGCTCTGTCATCAGCGATGTGTCTGTCTCTCTGCCAGCTCCCAGGTTTGATTAATACTTTGTAATAAATACATGAATAAAGCACAGTCATACTCAGTTTTGTTCCCGCTCTATTTTTAAATACGCAGTAGAGGTATTTAAACGTAGTAGAGGACATGTATCTGTATATAAAAAAACGGTGCGCCTTATGGTCGTGAAAATACGGTATGCCCAATTTTGAAGCGTGGTCTGCACTATGTTATTCCACGCCACAACGCAAGAGGGACCATTAGGAACTGGCTGTGGGTCTAGACACGTCCGAGGTGGTGAGGAAATGGGGGCTGTCTGTGCGACAATGGAGGGACATGAGGGCCAAAAAGAGCAGGGGTCCAGGTGGAAAAAGGGTCCCAGCGTTCTCGCGCACCTCGCTCTGCTAGCTGGTCCATCTTCACGAGTCGTTTTCCACAATGGCGGTCATACAAACAAAACAAGCCGGTAAGGAACCAAACAGGAAATACGGATAGTGTAGAGAGGATGTAGATTTGACCAATCAGAGGCCTCCTGTCTGCGACCCCCTGCAATTTCGGAGAGGGGCAGCAGAGTGTCCTTGACCCAAAGCCAATAAACTTCATATCGTTGTCCGTCTTCAATTTGTACTTCGTAAGGTTGAACCTGCTTATTTAGGATGATCTGATTTGTCATGTCGCTGTAAACTTTTTAAATCTATACGCACTTAAACACTGTGGACGTCTTTCTGCAAGATTAAAAAAAACAGAATATTTTTCTAATGGAGGTTTGGCGTCACTGTGTCTCAGAGAAAGCTTTTGGTTTTCAGTTGCAGCTGAGAAGGACTTTGTGGGATCCAGCCTGGTGTCGGTTCTTCACAAGCTGCTGTCAGATGAAAGGAGCGCGCCGGAGATCAAGTACAACTCCATGATTCTCATCTGTGCCGTCATGGGTTCAGGTGAGACCCGGATCTGCTCCTTCCTCCCTCTGGGTGTGTTTTTGCCCCTCCCCCATGGTCTGATCTCTCCCTGCTCTCCTCTGCTTTCAGAGCCTCTCAGTAAGGAGGTGCAGAGCCTGGCGTTTATCGACGTGGTGTCCAAGCTGAGAGCTCACGAAAACAAGACAGTGTCGCACCAGGCCTCCCTGACGGAGCAGCGGCTAACCGCACAGAGCTAAATGACTGTGTCCACGCCACTCCCATGCCTGCCTGCCCACCTCACACCCGCCCCCCCACCTTCCCCCATTGTGTCCCATCGTCATGTGCCAAGGTACCGCGTCGCGTTAACTGCCAGCCAGACATCCAGCCCCCCCTCTGTCCCACAGCCTCCACCCTAGAACCGTTTTCTAAGCCAAGAGCAACTGTAATTTGTAATTATCGTTGAAATAAAACCGAATCTGCTCATATCTGATATGTTTAGGGTCAGGAAAGCTTCACATACTTTACGTTTGAAAGCCATAAAAATGACCGAGGTGGCCAGTGGCGAGCTGGGGTCGGACCTCGGTCCGAAGTTCCCACCTCCCGTGTGTGCATGTCCGTTCTGAAGCTACAGATGAAGAGACGACGCTTGTTAAGACCACAGCTGTGACGCCCATCGTAACGACGTGCACAGGTTTGTTTTTCCAGCCACGTCTCCTGGAGCTGGATTATAATCCCAGTAGAACCAGTGCATGTTTTTGTCCCGTTCGAGCTGTGACTGTGTTCATTTTTTATTGACCTACGCTCCCGCCGGCTTCGTTCTCAACTCTTTGGCTCCTTAACCCTCGATTCTTTCTAAGCCGCGGATTTAGCGTTAGCGAGATTTTAGCGTTTCATCCCTTGAAGAATACTGGTGAAGATTGTCAGTCGTCCAGGTCATAGTCATTCCAAAAAAAGGTTCAAAAACAATCCACTGGACTTTGTTTCCAAGTTTGTAGATGTTTCGCTTCCCATCCAGGAAGCTTTTTCAATTCAAAATGGCAGAATTAGCGTCAAGTTCAATGCTTTATAGAGTGGACCAAAAACAAAGCCTTGTTTTGGCTTAAAAACATGCAAATTAAACCGGACGAACGGGTCCGCCCCTTTGGAATGGGGGTCGTTTGGGTTCTTTGTTAGCCTGTAATACCCGATACCCGTCTATGTCTCTGAAAGGCGGGTCGTTAGAAGGGATTGTTGGCCTGCCTGAATATGCGAGGTCTTCTGTTCCCCTCTGTTTAAGGTTGGTTTTTCTTACCTTCACGCCCCTTTCAAAGCCCCATCCTCTCTGTCCACAATGTGAACACTTTAGTCCTCATTACAGGGGATCAGCCAGGCCAACAATTCCCTTTAACGAACCCCCTTTCAGAGACATAACAAGTATCAGGTATAACTCTAATAAAGCCTTGAACTCGACGCCATTTCTGACATTTTGAATTGAAAAAGCTTCCTGGAAGGGAAGCGAAACATCTTTAAACTTGGAAACAAAGTCCAGTGGATTGTTTTTTAACTTTTTTGGAATCCCTTGAAGAGGAGTCGGACATCCCGCGGCTAAGTTTGGGTTTGCTACGGTCATGTGAGCAGAGACGCCGGAGCTCTTCTCCTTGACCCAAACCCACCAGACTTCATAGCATTGTCCGTCTTCAATTTGTACTTCGTAGTTTCTCAGATTTTACCGTCAGAATATCGACCATATGCACATATATTAGCCAATCCCCTTTGACCAATTTAATCAATTTAAACCATGTTTACAGAAAGTTTTATTAAAAGCTTCTAGTTGCAAATCTAAAATCTATCAACACATAGTGAAATCTGTGTAAAATGACTATTTATTACGCTGTGGATGAAGCTCATTTTTTGATATTTTGTAGATAATAGACGCTATGAAAACCTAACGGATTGGTTGTTGGGGGTTCCTGCTAACATGCCCATCTGAGCATGTGCGACACTGTGCCGTCACTCGGTGTGTTCCCCGGCCTGGGCCCGCACTTCTTGTTTTTAAAGATACATTTATTTATCAGATTAGTGATCTACTCAGACGCGCGCCAGTGGAGACGTTTCCATCGTAACCGCATCAAAAATATTGTCGACATACGTGTTTGTTGTAAATGTTATGAGTTGTACATTTGAAGGACTCAACAGACAATTAAAAAGATAATAGCTGGTGACGTCTGAAGTCTTTTCGTTTTTTTTTCTTTGTGTGTCTGACTTCGCAGGATTTACTTTCATTTAGTTTCAGGGAGAAATCTGTGTTTGTAGAATTCAGTTTCATTTAAGGCGGGGAAATTTAGCAAAACACATATTTCAATTCGCAAATTCAGTTCGAATTTTAGTCTCATTAATTTACCAAAGATTAAAGCCTGGTTTATGCTCAAAAACCGGGTCGTCTGCGTGTGTCGCAGTTAACGCAGATATACTCCCTTTCCGCTGACACTCTGGTGCACCTCCCTAAAATTGTAGGGGACCAAAGATTGGTCAAATCTACATCCACTGTACACTATGCGTATTTCCCGTTTGGTACCAGAAACTCTTATTTGCTCTGCAAATCCATCTTGAAACCTTCCGTTGAAGTAATTTTGTGAAGGGGCGAAAATACTGGTTAGCTGATTGGCCTATGTTGGTGATAGACGGGCCAAATAAACCAATCAGATCAACGAAGCATATGATGTACTAACAGAGCGACGACGAAAACACAACCATAAGCCAGGCTACTCTTGCCGAAACCAGTCGGGAGAAGAGCAAAAACATCTTTTCCTCTGAGAAAAGCCTCCAGAGCAGTGTTTTGCTCTTCTTTCAGTGAAGAAATACTCTGTAATTCCAATAAAACTTGCTCGATAGCCACGCTAACGCTAGTTTCATCGGCTGAAGTCGCCATGTTCTTTAGACCGAACTGTCGCGCTTCTCGTTGCGTCACACCTCAACCCGCCTCAAAGCCAGCGCTGATTGGACGTTCCTTTCTTGAACGGCTCCAAATTTTGTTTAACGGAGTCTCCAGACTGATCTGCGAGTGAAACCTTGAAAGCTGGCGAGATCAGGATGGTCTCACGAGGCTAAGAAACTGGCTGTAGCGCCGTCCACAACGCCTGGCACACCTCAGGACGCTAGTTTGTAGCTCTGTGTGCAACAGTCTGTTGGTTTGCACCTGAAGCCAAAAAACGCAAGGGGTGCCTATCTCCAACAGTCAATGGGCGAGAGGCGGGGTACACCCTAGACAGGTCGCCACTGGCGCAGGATGCGATAGACTGGCAACCAGGACAAACAACCATTCACGCACACACTCACACCTAAGGACAATTTAGAGAAGCCAATTAACCTAACAGTCATGTTTTTGGACTGTGGGAGGAAGACTGAGTACCCGGAGAGAACCCATGCATGCATTCCCTGGGCCGGGAATTGAACCCAGAACCTTCTTGCTGCAAGGCTGAGCAGCCCATGTTTTTATTCACATTTCCATTAAATAACTTTTAATTCTCTCCATACGTGTGAACAAAGACCACAGCCGACGTCTCAGTCAGGTCATTTTATTGGATGATGAAATGATTCCAATGTTATCGGACATGAGGAGGTAGTTACATGGTAGATGGAGACGGGACGTACAGTGCAGGTGATCCTCACGGTGACGAGCACTTTTGTTTTTCACAAAATCGACAAGATTCCCTTCAGTCGTTTGAACATTAGTGTTAAAAAAAACCCACATATTTACATTAAATATTTAGTATCAAAAAGGGTGTCCCTCGTTTTGTCAGTAGCATCACAAGTTTTTTTTCAGGATGTAACATATTACAACGAAAAAAAAACAGTTCTTGAAAGTATATTCTAAGTCATTTGCTACAAATGCATGCTTAGAGCAGAAATAAACACAGAAAAACACCTTTTTAGTAGATTTCATTCAACCTTGTTTGCATGTTTGAGATCTGCATCAAAATAAATGAAGGAAAAAAAGCCTTTTTTGTACTAACACACAAATTGCCATGTGAAATGCTGAACATGTCCAAAAGATTTCACTGTCTTATATGTGTATATATATAAAAAAAACAAATACAAGTTGCGTGTTTTCCCAAGGTCTCAGCTCCGGGATGGGCTGTACGCTTACATACCTTCTGTGACGACCACAAGAACATTATCTACATTTTTTAAAATTGTTAAAAGGAATCAGTCAGAAAAAATGGAAATAATCAGAATATAATCAGAAGCGGGAGGTTTTTTAATTCCTGCTTGCACTTTTAGCCACTAGGGGTGCTAGATCTTTAACTTCCAGGGCAACTTGGCGCTGTCGCTAAACTAAAGTCTCCCTCGGGGTTTTGGAGTCTGATATCGTACCAGAAGTCGTGGAGTTCCTGGCTAGATTAAATCCAACATCAGAGGACCAAAATGTCGCCTATCAACTTTTTAGGCGACTGTTTCGACCCTCTCGAGTCACACAGGGAAGTTTTGGAGAAGGTTTAATTCTTATAGGTATTCAACTTACACCAAGTGCTGAATACTGACCTGTAAAAATCAGGTCGAAAAATCAGCTAATATGTGGGTCAAAAGTAATTAAGTGTTTTAAAATATGCAGGGACCTGGTTTCTTCGTGGATTAATCAATCTCTGAGGACAATCTCAATCACATATATTTCAGTTAAAAACTAAAACGGTAATACCAGAGGACTTGATAGAATGTTAGCCATGAACAGGAAATGGTAACATTTTAAGGGCAGATTAGACTTCTGCAACAGCACAGATCAAATGTTGCTTGGGTCTGGTTGCGAACCAGTTTTGCTGGTATGTTCCTGTACCTTCTGTCTGGAATTTCTAGGGACGCACAGCAGTTTCCGGGGAAAGCACAAGGGGGAGCCTATTCCAGAACGTGCGAGAACTTCGGCTACACCGGCGGGAGTGTTTTTCTTCCAAAACAATGGCGCGTCTGCAAGACATCAGGGTCATGGAGATGGATGTAGAGTTGCTATACATCGAAGAGGAACAGGTTCTGTTAATGGAGCGAACCTCCTCGATTAACCTTACGTCGTAGTCGTCCATTGAAGTTGTTCCTCTGTTTTTAAAAACGGCGCGCGCCGGCACCGAATCGATAAGGACGACCACACAGACAGCCGGAAAGGCATACCAAGGACCAATCACAGCTGCTTTTTGTCTGCGCACTTCAGCTTGAGGTCTGCGCGGGTTTGCGAATGTCCGACGCGTAGTCAGGATTTTTTTGAGGTGTGCGACGACGGTTGCAGAACCTCTGAGACAGATTTTACAGCTGCAGAGGCTATGCGTCAGACGCATAAATTGGCCTTAATTGTGCGCCGTTAAGCCCAGGCAAGAAATGTTTAAGCATCAAAGTCCCCATTATGACCAGAAGAGGGAGCACTAAAGCCTTAAGTCGACATGTCCCCATTACAAAAAACGCAAAGGGCAACTCAAAAGTCCGTACTAAGAAAGAAACTTTTTTTGGATGTGATTTAAAGACGTTCCCTAAATGCATTGCGTTAAACTCAAAACTGTTTTCACAAAACAGTTTTTCTCGTGCACCGCTAACACCGATTACACTTAGAAGTGCGAGGAGGGCGTCAGGCTGTGGCCGTTTGACTTTCTTTACACGCAAACATTAGCATGACTTCGGTAACGCAGAGGTTCAGATCGAGTGAACACGAGATGATGTTCACACGCTGCCTCTTTTTGTGCTCCTACTCACGCATCGGGCACAGGTAGCTGGAGTTACCCACCAAAGACCTGCGCCCACCCTTCATTTCCGGCCACTGCAGATGGATGTTGCTAAAAAGCGGCAAAGCAGGACATCTAGTCGTGCTTTTCTTCATCGTAAACTAATTTCATAGAACAAAGACGTTAGTTGTTTAAGCTATCCTTTGCACTATTGCTTTAACTTAAAGGGGTGATGGAATGATTCTATAGGGTATCTGGTCCTTAAGGTCTCTGAATAGGGTGTGTTTCCTTCCTTTTATGGTATGCTCATGAATATTTAGATGAGCTGTGCTCTGATTGGTTGGTTTACAATGAGCGAAGCTGCTGAGCAAAGACGCATCATAGCAACAAGCACTCACTCACTGAAACAGAAAAATGGCCATCATAGCCACACGGCTAGGCTGAGAGAGGACTGCTGCAGACGGGCTAACGTTAGCCCTGGCTGCCGTTACCTTTGGAAGGTCATCTCAAATTTGGAAATGTATTTTTAAATTACGCATTAGATCAGTAAATAGGCCATATAGTGACGCTTAAAAATATGTTCTCGCCTCAAATGATCTTAAAACGTATTTTAATTGAACATCGGCAACAGAAAAGATAAGTTTTAACTTTATACTCTGAGCTCTGTGAGCGCTAACCTGGTAGCTGCTAGCTGCCGCAGTGCATGCTGGGACAGATGTCAATATCAGAACGGTCAAGTCTGCTCTGATGCATGCTGGGTAAAGAGGGAGGGGCGAGAGCAACATCTGGGGACTTATTTGTTCTCGATCTATTTGTTCTTGTGAGTTGGAGCAGCACTAGGGCTGATGACGTTTTTCGCGTACATGAGAACGTACAAGTACAGATTACAAAAACGGCACCAGAGTTGGTTAAATGACGAATTTGCTCCACTTTAACAGTCAGCCACTTGTGAATATTTTTTACAGTAAGAATTAACTTGTTTCTACCGATTTTTTCAAACGAAACATTTAGGAAAATCTTTACAGTGTTCAAGTGGAGCGGATACAGTCAGTGAAGGTGAACTCTGGAACTATGTCCTAGCACAGTTCAGTTGCCAGGCTTTAACCGGTTCATTCGGACCCTAAAGTCTACCTGTCCCATATCAGCCAAAGCAGGAAGAGAGAATAAGAGAAGCAAATCTGAAGAGAACAGACAAATAAAAAGCTTCAAAAGGGTCGAAACATCCTTAGATTACCAACATAAACCCAATAAGACGGACTTTCTTCTTCATGCTTTTTCCCCTTCTCAAAGCAACACTGCCCCTAAAGCAATTCATTGGAACTGCAGGATGTCTGATCTAAAGGTTGGCATGAAAGCCAAGGTTTAGGAAGCACATTTTCTCCCTTTAATAAGTAAACATCTTTTCCAAACCCACTGCAGGTTTGCATGTGGAAAAATTGACATTCCTCATCATGATCAAATGTGACGCTTCATTTGCGGATATTTACTGCATTAGTAAAGCAAAAAAACTTCATGTGTGAATCGATCCACTGTTCTGGGTCGGTAGCAACGATCGGAACAGTCTCTTCTTTTAATACTGCATTGCTTCTATTCAGCACGTCGTCGTCTCAGATGCTTATTTATCTTTATTTCGGTTTTCTCCGAGAGCCGAATGAAAAAACAAACTATAGAGCCACTAGATGCAGCTATCAAAAGTAGAACACTGCAGTCATCTTAATCTTGTCCGCCATCTTTGTTGAGTAGTTGCACAGTGGTTATTTACAAAACCTTCCACATATTTAGTGCCTTTAGAAACAAAAAAAAGAGTGCTGGTTCAGTGTAGGAAAGTAGGGGGGTGACTGGTGACGTTCTCAGACGGTGCTCACAGGGGACCATGTTCCAAACTGGTGCTGATCCAAAAGAAGAGAACTGTTAGAAATGACGTTATTCCACATTTAAAATGGTTGCAAAAGTAAAACCTTTACCTGTTAGAGGGAAGCTGCTCCAGAACTAAGTGAAGAAACTGGAAGAGAAGAAAAGAGGAGTTGGATGAAAATGAAACCAAAAAGTCATCGCCTCCTTCAGCCGGACAAAAAGTGACGTTAACTTTGGAGACGGTCACAGGGAGAGCGAGCGGGCCGGGTTCAGAGACTGAACCGGGCCGGGTTCAGAGACTGAACCGGGCCGGGTTCAGAGAGTAGGCTGAGGGACAAAGGGCCACAAACAGACAGAGAACTTCTGAAAGCTCAGAGTAGGAGGTCCAGCAGCAGGGGCTCGCCCTGATTTCTGAACTCCTCCCTCAGTCGCCTCAGAAAAATCAAACAAGGGTCCGATTGGGCAAAGTGTATCGACAAATCTTAGCTGAAATGATGAGAAATTTGTATAAAAAAAAAATTACCCAAACTTTGCAAAAAATGTTTTTATTAGCAAAAAAAATACATTTTTTCTTAAAATAAGTGCATTTTCTTTCTTGAATTGAGGAGAAAAGTGAGACACTTTGCCAATGGAACAAGATTATTTCAATTTAAAATAAGAGAAAAACAATTCCATTGTCTTATTTCAAGTGCATATTATCTAATTATCTTATTTTAAGAGTAAAAATACTCAATCCATCTTATTAACCTATTCAAAAACTTCTCATTAAAGGTATACTATGCAACCGGTGTTGATTTTCCAGCGAGGCTCCCCCCAGAGGGCGAAAGTAAAAGTGCACTGTCGTAAATATGCACAGCTGTTCTCCTGGTTTCTCCGTCAAGCCAGCAGAAACGCGAGGTCCGCGTCAGCCTTGCAGCCTTCTTTTTCTTTTAGCTCTCGACATTCGGAAAAAGCTTGCCCTATGTTCACCCGTGAACGACTCCTCTCTCTGTCCAGAGTCCTTTTCCTCTTTCTTGCCTGCTCCGACTTGGGCTTTCGCTGTTTTCTCGCTGGTTCCGACATAACTGCACAAATATCGCCACTGCGATAGCAACAAGCATGCCTTCCACTGGGGGCGTGTAACAGTTCTCGCCGCAAAGCAAGACCGACTCTTGCGATGCACGAAACTTCTGAGCCTGTGGGTGCGGGCCGAGGGCTCGTGCAATTGCAAGTACGGTATTTCCCCTACAGACCACCAGGGCGGCCGAGAAAACCTTTGTTCGACCTGAAATGACTCATTTAATCATCCAAAACGTCGTGGAACACATTAATTAACTGAAAAATGTTGCATAGTATGCCTTTAAGTGTATTTACCCTTATTTTTACTCATTTCTAGATTGTTTTTCCAGTGTTTTAGGTTAATGTGGAGCTCAGAAATCTCTTAAACCGGGCGTACACTGTACTATTTCTTTGACTTTTTTGGGCCGATTCGCCAGTCATGCGAGAATTTTTCAATCAGGCTGACTTTCAGCCTAATTGTGCGTCATTTAGTGTACAGAGGGTGAAGAGCGACAATCAGACTCTAACGACCAGGAATCAGAAATCGTAAGATCGGGAGAAAAACATGTTTGAAATTTAGTCGGCCATAGTAAGGTGGTCATGGGCAAATCGCTCATCGGGCAAACAAGGATTCTTCTTCCTCTCAGACAAAAACCCAGAACTAGGGATGCACGATATAATCGGCCTTAAAACTGAATATCGGACATCGGCCACCCCACCGATATTTAACCCGATATTTGATCAGCTTCTGAGTTTCTAAAGTCCCAAAAAAAAAAAAAATTAAAATACTTCTTCTTCTTCCTCAAAAACTTCTTTTTTACAGACTTAAAAACTTCTAAAGACGAGGGAAAAAATATTGATACATTAAAATATCCCAATATCTTCATATGCTGATATATTGCCATTTAAAAACACCATATCAATCTCTTTTACTAACGAAATATTGATATATGTCATCGTTATGCTACGAAATCCCCCGAAAATTCACGAAATGTCGCCATATTTTTATATGTTGATATATTGACGCGGTATCGATCTATTTTACTAACAAAATCGCACAAGAATTTGCAAAATATCACGAGAGTTTGTAACAGAACGATGAAATTTCACGAGATTTTGAAAGTAAAATAGATCGATACCGCGTTTTTAAAAATCAATTTGATATCATCATATGAAAATATACACTATATTGCCAAAAGTATTTGCTCACCTGCCTTGACTCACATATGAGCTTAAGTGACATCCCGTTCCTAATCCATAGGGTTCAATATGACGTCGGTCCACCCTTTGCAGCTAGAACAGCTTCAACTCTTCTGGGAAGGCTGTCCACAAGGTTTAGGAGTGTGTTTATGGGAATTTTTGACCATTCTTCCAGAAGCGCATTTGTGAGGTCGCACACTGATGTTGGACGAGAAGGCCTGGCTCTCAGTCTCCGCTCTAATTCATCCCAAAGGTGTTCTATCGGGTTGAGGTCAGGACTCTGTGCAGGCCAGTCAAGTTCATCCACACCAGACTCTGTCATCCATGTCTTTATGGACCTTGCTTTGTGCACTGGTGCACAGTCATGTTGGAAGAGGAAGGGGCCAGCTCCAAACTGTTCCCACAAAGTTGGGAGCATGGAATTGTCCAAAATGTCTTGGTATGCTGAAGCATTCAGAGTTCCTTTCACTGGAACTAAGGGGCCAAGCCCAGCTCCTGAAAAACAACCCCACACCATAATCCCCCCTCCACCAAACTTTACACTTGGCACAATGCAGTCAGACAAGTACCGTTCTCCTGGCAACCGCCAAACCCAGACCCGTCCATCAGATTGCCAGATGGAGAAGCGCGATTCGTCACTCCAGAGAACGCGTCTCCACTGCTCAAGAGTCCAGTGGCGGCGTGCTTTACACCACCGCATCCGACGCTTTGCATTGCACTTGGTGATGTATGGCTTGGATGCAGCTGCTCGACCATGGAAACCCATTCCATGAAGCTCTCTGCGCACTGTTCTTGAGCTAATCTGAAGGCCACATGAAGTTTGGAGGTCTGTAGTGATTGACTCTGCAGAAAGTTGGCGACCTCTTCGCACTATGCGCGTCAGCATCCGCTGACCCCGCTCCGTCAGTTTACGTGGCCTACCACTTCGTGGCTGAGTTGCTGTCGTTCCCAAACACTTCCATTTTCTTATAATACAGCTGACAGTTGACTGTGGAATATTTAGGAGCGAGGAAATTTCACGACTGGATTTGTTGCACAGGTGGCATCCTATCACAGTTCCACGCTGGAATTCACTGAGCTCCTGAGAGCGACCCATTCTTTCACAAATGTTTGTAAAAACAGTCTGCATGCCTAGGTGCTTGAATTTATACACCTGTGGCCATGGAAGTGATTGGAACACCTGATTCCAATAATTTGGATGGGTGAGCAAATACTTTTGGCAATATAGTGTATTTGAGTTTATTATTTTTCAAAGTGTCAGAAATGGATAACAAAACTGCTATTTTCAATGACTACTTATTTTTGTCCAGCTTTAACATCAGTATCGATATCGGTTATCGGCTACATGAGTTTTAAAATATCGGCATATCGGATATCGGCCAAAATCCCAATATCGTGAATCCCTACCCATAACCATGGTAGCATGTCCAAATACGTTGTCGCCTTTTCTTTTTGGAACTTTCAGCACAAATTACCGAGGCAGCGCGTTTCACTTTAGTTAGCTCCATATTCCTCTTCTACTCGTTTGGCTTCCGGATAGACGAGTCAGAGTAGCGCCGCCTCACTGCGGAACTGAGTCCGACGTTTTTAGACGTACAGCGTGAGAACATACATCGTGAGCTGTGAACTCACGACGAAACCCTCCTTTAGCTGCGTGCAACGATCGGAAAAAAATGGTACAGTGTATGCCCGACTTCAGACAACCCAAATGGTCTCTCTACTCTAAAGCTGAACTAACATCTCGGGGTAGAATCTACCATGGACTCATCAAACCCACGTACATGGCGTGCATGACTGTCTCATGAGTAGTAAGCCGATGATTTCTTGCAGGTGTATGGTGGGGGTCGGCGCATGGACAGAGGGGGGGGCACCCTGATGAGGCATGGAGGAGGAAGAATGATGGTTTGAATGGAAAAGTTAGATTAACCTTTTACTCTCTAGTCGTCCATTAAACGAGGTAGTAATTAGCAGCTGAAAGGAAACCAGATGTCCGAGAAACACAGACCGTCCCTACAGGCTAAATGACGAAGGGGAACAAATCGTCTCTGATTTATCAATAATTAACTTATTAATTTTAGCTAACATTATGTTAACGTAAAGCTTCAGTTGATAACGTGTTTAGCATTGGCATATAATTAATGCTTTAATGGTGCTTTAAACGTGTTCAAGATTTAATGATCTTGACGTTTTTCTTTCAATTTTTCTCTAATCCACAAATTTCAAATGCTAGCTTGAATATTAACATTCAGAATTTTTTTTTATTTCTTTATGGATTACAGGAAATCTAAAGCAAAAATGATAGAATTAATGGAATAAATAAAAAATATGGGCAGCACAAAACAGGGATCGGTTATACTGATAAAATAACCAGTATCAACTTTTAAAAGAAAAACTGTTTTGGTCAAATGTAAGATAAACTAGGGCTGTAACTAAAAATTCTAAAAAATCTGGAATAAAGAAAAAAACCTTTGCTATTTTTCTATGAATTCCAAATGGTAAAAATTTAAAAAAATATAAGTAAACAGGTATTTTTTTTCATATATAATATATATTTATGTTATTTTTACATATATTTTCAGCCCTAATGTCGGCAGTACGGTTCTTTGTTTTAGAGTGGGGTCTGGCTTTTTAAATGCTTTATAAAAACCTGCTTTATTCATTCTAAAACCTAGTTTTAATTTGTTTGGGATCATTGTCCTTCTGAACTTCAAACTGAGCTCACATTTCAACCATCAGACCCAAACTGCTACCTCAGAGGAAAGGAAAAAATTGCTGAAGCACCAGTATCGCTGTCCTTGGCTTTAACAGTTGTTCACCATAGCTTCAATTACATTTTCAGCTGCAGTCACACATTTTGTAGTTATATTAAAAGATGAGGCTATCTGTACACAATAATGTTCCAACTGGCAATCTGCTTTTGCTCAAAACGTCCATAAATCGACTCAGTTTTGTATTAATACTCTACACCTTCTGCTGACATTTGGCACAGAGTGTGAAAAAAAATATCTTTATCCTTACCATGCCTTATAACCTTTAATAGGACAAATAATTTGATTTTTTTTTTATTTTATTTATAGACTATTTCTATACTAATATTACTACCAAAAATGTCCCAGAAAATGCAAAATGCAGTTTGGTTGCATACAAAGGTTTTTTTTGTTAGTTTTTTGTTAGTTTATATTTTATTTTTGTGTTTTAGGCTTTGTTTTTTCTTAGTTTGATAGTAAATAAAGCCCTTAGTGTATATTTACAATAACAATTTGATACTGTGAATTTGTACAGGAGGTAAACAAGGAAGTAGCCTACTCCATCACCTCTCAGATAAGTGTGGAAACAATTAAGAAAAATATCCCAGTAAATGTAAAAATAGAAACCATTAGCATAACCAGCAAAATAGTTTATAAAATTCTATTTTAGAAGAGTTTCATAGACCCGTCGAAATCATTTTCATAAGTCTGCAGAGACGTTTGTCAGCGGTGTTCCTGGCAGTATTTCTGAGGTTTTATAAACTTTACAACAATACTGGAATTATACAGTATCGACTAGGGATGCACGATATAATCGGCCCCCTATCGGTATCGGCCTTAAAACTGAATATCGGACATCGGCCACCCCACCGATATTTGATCAGCTTCTGAGTTTCTAAAGTCTAAAAAAAAAAAAAAAAAAAAAATACTACTTCTTCTTCCTTAAAAACTTCTAAAGACGAGGGAAAAAATATTGATCCATTAAAATATCACAATATCTTCATATGCTGATATATTGCCATTTAAAAACACCATATCAATCTCTTTTACTAATGAAATATTGCTATATGTCATCGTTATGCTACGAAATCCCCCGAAAATTCACCAAATGTTGCCATATTTTTATATGTTGATATATTGACGCGGTATCGATCTATTTTACTAACAAAATCTCACAAGAATTTGCAAAATATCACGAGAGTTTGTTACAGAACGATGAAATTTCACGAGATTTTGAAAGTAAAATAGATCGATATCGCGATTTTAAAAATCTATTTGATATCAGCATATGAAAATATATTTGAGTATATTATTTTTCAAAGTGTCAGAAATGGATAACAAAACTGCTATTTTCAATGACTACTTATTTTTGTCCAGCTTTAACATCAGTATCGATATCGGTTATCGGCTACACGAGTTTTAAAATATCGGCATATCGGATATCGGCCAAAATCCCAATATCGTGCATACCTAATACAAAGGTTTTTTTGAAAGACTTAACAAATTTTGTTAGTTTATAATTTATTTTTGTGTTTTAGGCTTTGTTTTTTCTTAGTTTGATAGTAAATAAAGCCCTTAGTGTATATTTACAATAACAATGGAGGTATGATACTGCGAATTTGTACAGGGGGTAAACAAGGAAGTAGCCTACTCAATCTAAGCTAGTTAGCACCTCTCAGATAAGTGTGGAAACAGTTAAGAAAAATATCCCAGTAAATGTAAAAATAGAAACCATTAGCATAACCAGCAAAATAGTTTATAAAATTCTATTTTAGAAGAGTTTCATAGACCCATCGAAATAATTTTCATAAGTCTGCAGAGACGTTTGTCAGCGGTATTCCTGGCAGTATTTCTGAGGCTTTATAAACTTTACAACAATACTGGAATTATACAGTATCGACAGAAACTGAGAAGTATATTGAGAATTTGAAAAAGGGGGAAAAAAGTTTAAAAAGTTATGCAGGCTGCTCAATGTTAGCGTGATTTTGCGCAGCCCTAGATATCCTTTTAAGACAACATAAATGTACAAGTCTGATTAAAAGTTTTACAGAAGGTAGGTTGGATTATAAAAAAAAAAAAAAAAAATGGTTCTAAAATAATTTGACAACCATGTCTTACTTTTGATTTCTCAGATTCAGATAACTTTATTATTCCTGATGGGCTTTAGTGCAAACATTCAGCTGTAATATGCCTCCACTAAACAAAATAATTAGTAAATTGAATAATAAGCCTCCCAATTGTTAAAGGTAGCCTCAGCTTAACAGCTGCATAGTTCAAAGCTTGAAGCAGTGAGAAAATAATCCCAAACAAACCTCAAAACCGGTCTTGGAACAAATGAGGCAGGCCAACAATAAACCTTTGGAAATTCTACCCTGGGTTCTTCCAGTAAAACCAACTAGTGTTACCAATTCTGCCAGGAAAGGAGGTCATTTATTCAACCAAATTCAAACTAGTAACTTAACTACCGTATTTTCACGACTATAAGGCGCACTTAAACGTCTTTTTTTTCCCTCAAAATGTGCGGTGCGCCCTATGGTGCGGTGCGCCTTATGTGTGTTGTAACTGCGACTTTTGAGACCACCTCATTGAGGAGATGATGAAAGAGTGGCTGAATGTAAGGAGACCAGGTGTTTTTTTTCCACCCCTCACCATCGCTGTTAATATGTAACTCCATGCGTGCCCATCTCACAGCTGATGTGAAAAACAAAGTCAATGGTTGACGCGCATTTTGGTGCAGCACGTCGGGAGCGTTTAAGCATCTGACGCACCGCCAACGTGCTGCTGCTGCTCGAGATGGAAAAATTGAAGTTTTGCTGCTGGACGCGCCGCATCAACCAATCAGAGAAGCTGATCTGGGAGCTGCCAGCGAGACAGACACAGCGCTCTGATGACATATGATATTAACGCAAATGGAAAAGGCTGGATGGTTGCGTGGCTGAGGCAGGTGTATGTGAGGAGACCAGGTGGTTTTTTCCACGCATCACCATCGCTGCGTGCCCATCTCACAGCCGATGTGAAAAAAAGGTGAATCAAATGAACGCTGTGCTCGCCGTTATCCCGGGGGTCTGACAAAGGAGCTTCAACCGCTCGACATCGGTGTGAAGCAGCCGTTCGAAGTAAGGCTGCGAGCGGCGTGGGAGCGATGGATGACCGACGGAGACCACAGTTTCAGGATAAGAAGGCAGCGCCGGGCAAGTTACGCCACCGTTTGCGGATGGATTATAGATGCTTGGACTAACGTGTCTGCTGGCTCTATTGTTCAAGCTTTCGCAAAAGCCGGCATTATTTCTGAGGAGCCACGCTGCACGGAAAGTGACTGACAGCGAAGAAGGGGAAACTGGCATGTCTGATTTAGCGCAGCTGTTTTATTCAGAAACAGAGGATGATGACTTTGATGGGTTTGATTAATACTTTGTAATAAATACATGAATAAAGCACAATCATACTCAGTTTTGCTCCCGCTGTATTTTTCTCCCTGAAAACTTAATTCAACAGCATCCCCGGCGCGTCTCCTCCTCTTCATCGCGGTGGCTGGCAGGTGTTTTTTCATCTAAATAATCTAAATCTTGCAGCTATATTTGCTGTGATCAGTGGGAATAAAGTAGTTTTAATATGTTTTTAAGTGAGAAAGTCCACCTGAAAACTTAATAATTGCAGTCAGTTCATCCAGATTATCTATTTCTGTCGGAGGCGCTCAGACCCCCACATACCAGCGGTGCGCCGACAGCAGAAATCTCTTCATCAGCAGCCTGTAGGCTGGGCAGCCTGGGGTTCACCGCGGCTGCTGGCAGGTGTTTTTCATCTAAATAATTTTAGCTGCAGGCACCAGGATACCGGCAATAAAAGCGAACATATTCCGTCAGCAGGTTTCAGGATTTTAAGTTAATTTAGGAGTGATCACAGCGCTGTGTCATCTGCGATGTGTCTGTCTCATGGCCAGCTCGCAGGTTTGATTAATACTTTGTAATAAATACATGAATAAAGCACAGTCATACTCAGTTTTGCCCCCGCTGTATTTTTAAATACGCAGTAGAGGTATTTAAAGGTAGTAGAGGACATGTACCTGTATATAAAAAATGCGCCCTATAGTCCGGTGCGCCTCATGTGTGTGTTAAATACAGAAATGGGACACATAACTGAGAGTGCGCCTTTTAGTACGGTGCGCCTTATGGTCGTGAAAATACGGTATTTTAACTAAAAGCAAAAGGTCAATGTGAAACTTATGACTGCATGTAAATGTTTGACTGTAGCTGGTTAGGTGGGCTTAGGAATGATAATGAGAACTTAAAGCAGGAAAAAAAGGTTGAAGGAGTCTCACCAGCTCGCCCTCACGGCCTCGATGTCGCTCACTAAGTTCTGGGCCAGACAAATCCCAAAAATCTGTGGACGAAAGCGAACCGTTCACGTTTGATGAAAGGAGAAGTACGTTCCTAAGAAGGCAAGGAAAGAAGCCAACCTGCAACAAAGCCACGCCGATGAAGATCCCCGCCACCAAGGTGAGGTTGTCCTGGAGCCACTTCTCGAACTGGGGGACGCAGCCTTTAACGTTGATGTAGTCCTTCTGCTCCGAGTCCTGTGAACACGTGCGAGTATCTTCAGTGTTTTCATCTCTCATCGGTAACCACTAAATGCTCTGCAGACATGAACTGTTCTACTGGAGACCAGGAATCCAGCATAACCGTCTAACTTACTGGTTTGGCTCTGATGTCGTATCCACACTGGGTGTTGATCACATCCTCCTACAGACAAAACATGTAAATGTAAAAACAAAACAATGGAACTAGAGTCAGTTTTGGCGCATGAGTAATTGCACCGGTGCATAGTCAGAAACGGTACCGCTGGGTCCTTGGTGCAGCAGGAGAAGGGAACGCCACACTTCTCCCGACTGGGGTTCCCATCAGTACAGTTAAAGTAGATGTTCAGGTTCCAGTCGTCGGCTCCAAACGCACCGCAGCACTCCCACTACAGTCAGGCAGGGAAGACAAGTTAAAAACTCCTGACATATCGGGTCAAAAATACTGAAACGACATTTACTGTGTGGCTCCACGTCTCGTTCCAAGTCCCCCGTCACACTGTTGCTTAGAAAACCAACATCGGAATGGTGAAAGGTGCCATGACACCATGCCTCTCAGGCTACACTATGCAGACCCTTTGTCTGCGCCCATGAAAGTCTCCTCTACAACTGTGAGAAAGGGGCGCAAACCAAGGCGCTACTTTCTGATATTTTCTGGTAATAAAAAAAAAAAAACATTGCGGCTTAAAGGAATAGTACACCCAAAACATGATTAGCCTTCATTTTCTACTCACCCCCATGCCGAACAACACTCTGGAGTACTTTTTTGATATCTCAAATGCATGTGGAGATCTGGGAGGCTTCTTGCTGTCTGCTGACATTCAAATAATGGAGGTCTATGGCGCCCGAGGCAGAAAGGTCCATAAAAGTCCACAAAAAACGTGTCAATATTCCTCCATACTGCTCGTCCAATGTATTCCAAGTGTCCTGAGTGGGTAGCGTCCATAATTTACTCGAAACGAAGTCATTTAGAATGTTTTTAGAGCATAAACAGTAGTGTATAGGATTTCCTGAAAGCGCGTTCACAGTCTATGGAAACCGTGGCAGACCAAACCAGATGAAAGTGCGCATTCAGCTCGGCAAAGAACTCATGCTCGTCCTCAACACTGAAGTCCTCAGACATTTTTCTTTCGTTGTTTCTTTCTTTGCACAGGTAAACAGCACATTTCTTCTTCTACGCTTGCATTATCGGCAGAGCAGACGCTGAATGCGCACTTTCATCTGGTTTGGACTGCCGCGGTTTCCGTAGACTCGTGAACGCGCTTTTAGGAAATCCTATACACTACTGTTTATGCTCTAAAAACATTCTAAATGACTTCGTTTCGAGTAAATTATGGACGCTACCCACTCAGGACACTTGGAATACATTGGACGAGCAGTATGGAGGAATATTGACACGTTTTTTGTGGACTTTTATGGACCTTTCTGCCTCGGGCGCCATAGACCTCCATTATTTGAATGTCAGCAGACAGCAAGAAGCCTTCCAGATCTCCAGATGCATTTGAGATATCAAAAAAAAGTACTCCAGAGTGTTGTTCAGCATGGGGGTGAGTAGAAAATGAAGGCTAATCATGTTTTGGGTGTACTATTCCTTTAACGACTCCCCATTATGAAAGGGGTGGACCTGTTTTCGGTACAATTCGCATGTTTTCTTATCATAACAAGGCTTTTTGTTGGTCGCATTCATCTGACCCGGACACCATTCATACCCAACAAAAGGTCACTATTCTGGGTCTTGCTATGAAGAAGTGGCAAGAGAAACAACAATCATGGCGGACGATGATGCCGAGAGCAGTATTTATGTTTAACCATCTTGAAACGATTGAGTTTTTATGTTTGGGAAAGATCGCTAGATGTGCTCCAGCCCTTCGAGGGTAAATCACATCCATCATGGCGATTCGATTCAGTATCGATTTCCTGACCCAACGATTCGATTATTTTCGATACTCAAGAATACACCACGATTCGATTCGATTAATTGGCTCACTTTTTTCTTTTTTTTTTTACACCTTACAGGCTAGACAATGTTTCAAATTTGAAATAAATTATTGAAAGCTGTAATAGGGATGCACGATATAATCGGCCCCCTATCGGTATCGGCCATAAAACTGAATATCATACATCGGCCACCCCACCGATATTTAACCCGATATTTGATCAGCTTCTGAGTTTCTAAAGTCTAAAAAAAAAAAAAAAAAAAAATACTACTTCTTCCTCAAAAACTTCTTTTTTACAGACTTAAAAACTTCTAAAGACGAGGGAAAAAATATTGATACATTAAAATATCCCAATATCATCCTATGCTGATATATTGCCATTTAAAAACAACATATCAATCTCTTTTACTAATGAAATATTGCTATATGTCATCGTTATGCTACGAAATCCCCCGAAAATTCACGAAATGTTGCCATATTTTTATATGTTGATATATTGACGCGGTATCGATCTATTTTACTAACAAAATCTCACAAGAATTTGCAAAATGTCACGAGAGTTTGTTACAGAACGATAAAATTTCACGAGATTTCGAAAGTAAAATAGATCGATACTGCGTTTTTAAAAATCAATTTGATATCAGCATATGAAAATATATTTGAGTATATTATTTTTCAAAGTGTCAGAAATGGATAACAAAACTGCTTTTTTCAATGACTACTTATTTTTGTCCAGCTTTAACATCGGTATCGATATCGGTTATCGGCTACATGAGTTTTAAAATATCGGCATATCGGATATCGGCCAAAATCCCAATATCGTGCATCCCTAAGCTGTAATATTGTTATGCATGCAACTAGAAAAGTTGCATCAAAGAATCCTGCACAAAATCAGTGCAATGATTGCAATGCAATACCTCGGCTCCAGATGTTCCGCCCCCTCCACGGACGCTCTGCTGCTCCTCTCCCAGATTGTAGCTGACGGCAGACAGTGCCGCTGACAGGAGGCCGGCTTGTTTTGTTTTTATGACCGAAATTGCGGAAAACAACTCGAGAAGTTTGACCCGCTAGAAGAGCGAGGTGCGCGAGAACGCTGGGACCCTTTTTCCACCAGGATCTTCGCTCTTTTTGGCCCTCATGTCCCTCCGTCGTCGGACTAAACTCGCCCCCACTTCCTCGCCGCCTCGGCCGTATCTAGACCCACAGCGTGTAGCGCAGACCACGCTTCAATATTGAGCATAAATCAAAAATGTCTGCATCAAGCTCACTGCGACACACTGCTGTAAGAGTATAACCAGGAAGCGAGGTAGGAGGGCAAAATAGGTTTAGCGCCACCGCAGCACGGGAGGAGAATTACACCCAGGAGCAAATGGATAAAAATAGACCGGAAGAAATAAAAAGACATGATTCTCTTGCGGACGTGTCGATGCATCGGATCGTCGGCTGTTGGATCGATGCATCGATACAAAACGATTATTATTCACACCCCTATCCAGCACTACCATCTAAACATATAGCACGCAGGCCTGTGACGTCATTTGGTCCTCTACTGCGCATGCGGGACACTTGTATGTGATCTCCTGTGTGAACTGCATTCATACAATGCAAGTCGCATATATTTGGAAATTTGAACCGCAGTGCAAAAAAAAATCGTATTTAACAAAAAAATCTGAATTGAGCCTCCAGGCCTGCAGTGAGAACGTAGCCATGGAGATGGCTGGAAAATCCAGATTATAAAAGGTTATTTGTGAAGAAAACTATAACAGGACTCACATATTCCTGAGTGAAATCGATGAGGTTCTGTAGGTCGATGTCGTCCCTATAAGCCCGGATGTTGTTGTTGATGAACAGGTTAAGTTGGTCCTTAATCCAGTCCTTAAAAACAAAGGCCAGGACCCCTGTCGTCAACTCCAGGAAAAAGATGATTCCCAGGAACACGGAGAACTAGAACAAGCAGAACCCACGAATCAGAAACAGACACCAAACAGCCACTTTTCCGGGTCTGATCTTCCATCTCGCAGAACGGAACATACAAACTTAAGCAAAAACGTGTTTTCCCGAAGAGCTCCGATGCAGCCGGCGAAGCCCAGGATGAACATGACCCCTCCCACCACCATGAAGAGCCACACGGGGTCCAGCCCCCCCAGGTCGGTGATGGATGAGATGTTGGACAGAACCCCCTGGGGAGGAGAGAACACTGTGATTCATGCAGCTGTGCCTCCTTCAACGAATGTTTGGCGAAAAGTCAAAGTGACAGAAAACCGCCCCGGATGACGGCATCAGCCTGGAGGGAAACTGGTTCCAGTCAAACCAGAAACCAACCTCTAAAACTCAAAAAACCAACATCACAGATAATAACTGTTAGCTTAGCATTTTTTACGCTCCTAATATCAAACAAGACGCATTAGACCGACTTCCTTTCCAGTTTAATTGGCTAAATAAGAAGCTCACCTTCTCACTCCAAGCCCACAGTCCGATCCCCACCAAGGCCATGCCCAGCAGCTGCAAGACACCAGCCACCTCTGATTAGTGGAGAACGCACAGATGCAGAATGACAGGAAAAGTAAGAAATATCCCCTCAGTTACGCCTCAGCTTGCACTAAGCTGCATCTGCTTCACAGCTATTATTTTTAAAGGAAAAGTACGCTCATATTCAGAATTAAATTAGAGGGTGTGGGTGAATGATTCCATGAATGATTGTAGACTAAATTTGACTTTTGAAAATCCAATACCAAAAACGTCCAGAAGATGGCAGAAGTGAATCATATACCCCATTTACGCTACCCTTGAAAAACCGTGCCGAGACCGGTCCGAGCTCAGTAACTGAGATAACTTATCGTGTGTAAATGGAAAGCAAACTGAACTGAACCGAGCTAGACACAACCAGACCGAGCTAACTAAAGCGAACGCCACGCCAGACACAATCAAACCGCGATAAACTGGTACTAGCTCATCAGTAGGGCTCGGTTCGGTTCTGGCTCGGTTCTCGGATAACAAATACCCCATTTACCCTACCCTTGAAAAACCGTGCCGAGACCGGTCCGAGCTCAGTAACTGAGATAACTTATCGTGTGTAAATGGAAAGCAAACTGAACTGAACCGAGCTAGACACAACCAGACCGAGCTAACTAAAGCGAACGCCACGCCAGACACAATCAAACCGCGATAAACTGGTACTAGCTCATCAGTAGGGCTCGGTTCGGTTCTGGCTCGGTTCTCGGATAACAAATACCCCATTTACCCTACCCTTGAAAAACCGTGCCGAGACCGGTCCGAGCTCAGTAACTGAGATAACTTATCGTGTGTAAATGGAAAGCAAACTGAACTGAACAGAGCTAGACACAACCAGACCGAGCTAACTAAAGCGAACGCCACGCCAGACACAATCAAACCGCGATAAACTGGTACTAGCTCATCAGTAGGGCTCGGTTCGGTTCTGGCTCGGTTCTCGGATAACAAATACCCCATTTACCCTACCCTTGAAAAACCGTGCCGAGACCGGTCCGAGCTCAGTAACTGAGATAACTTATCGTGTGTAAATGGAAAGCAAACTGAACAATCGAGATCTTCTCCACGCAACATTTTAAATAATAACACCGAAGTACAGCAATAATAATCAAGCATAACTTCCTGAATGTGACGGGCGCCGCCATTTTGATTTGCTTGATTCCCTCCTTCTTCTTCTTCTTCTTCTTGTGTTTTATGGCGGTTGGCAAACAACTTTTGGTGCATTACCGCCACCAACTGCTTGATTTCCTCCTTTAATACTGGCAGTAATACCGCAGATCGTCACTAGGAGGCAAAGAGTCGAGGAACCGAGATAGCGTGATGTGTAAACGGTCATCAGAACCGAGCTCGGCCTGGTTAACTGATCCGAACTCGGATATATCGAGTGTGAATGAGAGGTCGTGTTCGGAGAGGAAAGCACAAACCCTTATTTTAAACCCGAATAGACGGTCAGTTATCGACGCTGGTCCATCAGCCGCTGCCGTAGCTCCCGGCAAACGCGTAGTGTGCCCAAACGCACGAACAGCACCCGCCCCCTTCTTCTTCTGATTGGCTAATACTGTTAGCATCAGAGCGCTCCTTTGCTACCATTGGCTGACAAACGCAAGAGGGATTTCGATTGTCTTTTTAAAATTTATTTATCGGTAATTTATTTTTGAGTGATTTTTTTTTTTTTTTTGGTTTTAACACACTGGCAATCGCTACGAGCCGGACACTTGCGTTGTATGAATGCAGTTCACACAGTATATCACATACAAGTCGCATATATTTAGAAATGTGAACGGCAACGCAAAAAAAATCGGATTTTACAAAAAATCGGAATTGAGCATCAAGGCCTGCACTGTGAACGTAGCCTTGGATAATAGCGCGTTGTGACAAACACCAGATACAGCACTGGGACTTGAACAGCCGATACCGCACCGTGACGTCACTAACCAGTAGGTGGCAGTAGTGTTCTTTGACAAACATGGATGCCTCCAGTAAAGCACATTCAAATGAAAATTACTCTCAATTAATAACACTTATTTATTGAACAGTATGGAATAATTTCATATTTAAAGTACTTTCAGAAGTTTGAATTCTGAATATGAGCGGACTTTTCCTTTAATTTCTAAAAAGTTAATTAATTAATTGAAACAATAATCAACAGATTAATCAATTTGCAAAATAATGGTTAGTTAGAGTTAGATAGTTATTTAAAGCTCATCTTAGGCGGCCGGTACAACATGTTCTTTATAGTTTTATAACAATTTAAGCCTCTAATGAGAGAAAAAAACAGTAGATGGGGGGGTGGGCTGCAGCCCCCCAGTGTCTGAGGACCCCAGCAGCGTCCCTGCGTGGAGCTGGCAGCCGTGGGGTGCTGTCCACGGAGGCGTGGGGTAGAGCAGGTTGAGCTGTGTCAGCGCTCAGCTCTCATTATCACTGAAAGCCGATTAGCTGCTGCGTGTTTGCAGGAACAGCTGCTTCTGTCCGGACATCAACTAACAGGGGCCCCAATCTGAGCGAAACACCTGCAGCTACCCCCCACCCCCCCAATCTAACGGAGACAATACCGCCCCCCCCAATACAGCGGTGACAATAAGGGGGTTTCTTACCCAGAACAGGATGTTGAAGCCAAAAATAAAGTATTTGATGCAGCAGCTGACTTCGTGGCCTTTGAAATGATTCCCCGACATGTTTAAGCATCATCCGCCGGAGACTGGAGAGGAGAACCACGGCCTGCTTTACAGGCTTTGTGTCGGACCGGAGGGAACAGGTTCAGCGCTCGGGGGAAGCATCTCCTTTGTCCGCTTCCGGGGTCCGCTCAGAGCCGCCGAGGAGACATGGCGGAGCCGCGGGGACGACCCGGTTCTCTGACACAGGACGGAAGAAGCACCTATCGGCCAGAGTTCAGCGCCGATATCGCTCAATCCTGAGCGTCGGTCCGCTATTCGGGCTAAATTACACAGATAGGAGGCGGTGACGTTGCTGGGGAAGGTCGTGTGTGATTGGAGGGTGAAGTGGTTAAAGAGCGTGGCAGCCGGCCAATCACATCACAGACAAAGTGAAGGACTTCCGGTTTGGATTACGCTAATAAAAGCATATATTTTAATGAAAAAATGAAATTCAACCACATTAATATGTTGGCAGTCATTTTCTGGAAGTGGATACAATGATTTATTATTATTGTTATTATTTATGACCAAACACTGCTGGGAAAGAAATTTTTAAGACCATTTCTATTAGTACAGTATTCAGGTATTGCAGTTACAGACTGTGTCCACCAGAGAGCAGTCACGACAAATATTACTTGTATGTGGTTATGAAAAATAAAATCGACCAAAAAAGTAGAAAGTTGTTCAATAAATTACTGAAGGAAGAGTAAAAAGTACTTGATAAAAATTAATGAGTAACTGTTTTTTATCATAATATCTTATTTAATTATTAAAAGTTTGTAATCAGACATAGTTATGTGATAATTCTGTTTATTTAATGTATCTAATAAAAATAAAGAAAACACAAAAAATAACATGATAGAACAAAAATGAAAATATCACACATTTTCTTTTTAATCCAATTTTCTTTTAACATAAATACACAAAACTAATCCTTACAGTAGGTAATGAATACTTGATAGGAAAGGATAAAGAATATTTACGATATCAAAGGGGGAGTGGTGGCCTAGTGGTTAGGGCCCAGAGGTTCTGAGTTCAAACCCCACTGCCACTCTGGGTCCCTGAGCAAGACCCTTAACCCCACACTGCTCCCCAGGTGCCGCACAATGGCTGCCCACTGCTTCCCAGCGAGATGGGCGTAATACAGAGAGTTAATTTAATTTTAAGTTAATTAAAAACACCATCATTCCACAGCATCTGATGAGCAAACTGGAATACCTGGGCTTCAATGCACCCCTTGTCTCACTGTGTGGTGTGGAGGCTGCAGCGCCTCAGACTGGAAGAAGGTGAGAACAGCAGAGAGGATCATGGGGGCTCCTCTTCCCTCGATTAAAGACATTTCATCCCAGCGCTGCGTGTCCCGAGCCCGTGACATCATCACTGACCCCTCACCCCCCACCATGGACTGTTCTCCCTGCTGCCCTCTGGATATTCAATGCAGGGCAGCAGCTTCTTCCCCACTGCCATCACATGATAAATGTTATATAAAATGGGTTATTTTATTTAAAAGAAAGAAAAAAAAATAATGTTAGGACTGCAGATACACAGTCACATGTTTATATTACTTTTATTTAAATGTATTTATTATTGTTTTCAAGGCTGCACTTTAAAAAAAAACTCTAGACAATTTCATTTTTTTTAACGGAATTTCTTTTTCTTTAGAAATGGAAAAAATAAATCTAAGTCTAATTTCCCTAGTGTTAGATTAATAAAGTTTCAAATATTTAGCAGTTGCGAGAAATTTAACTCAAATCAGAGTCACGATACTTTAACAAGAGCAGTACTTTAGTAAAATGAAAAAGTTGAACCCTTAATCTATATATTTTAAAAAGTTACTCAAGTAACTAAAGTAAAATAAATGCACCAGTACTTTCCACCTCTGGGTCTATCGGTGTTGAACACAACAAACCAAAAAACAAGGGTGGTGTAATGATTCTTTAGGTATTTCATGGTCTATATTCATAGTTATCCTTAACTGTATAGTGAAGGATTTTTGCAATTTTTTTAAAATAACTGCTCCAAAAAAAAAAAAAAAAAAAAAAATTCATATGCACCCTGTAAATAAATCCCATAATGCTTTACGAGGTGAGGTTCAATGACTCTCTGAAACCGTAGCTCACCACAGATATACGTCTGAAAGTGCGCAGGAAAAGATAGCTAACGGGACGAGCACGTACGACGGCCTTACGTAAACATATCACCAGAATGATTGACAGTTAAGAGGACCACTTATTGAGATGATCCACCTGGAAATAAAAAATTATCCTCTATACCTTTAAAGTAACTTCTTTTGTGTTTATTGCAAAAGAACTGAAACTGGTTCAGATTTATGTGAAACAGTCATATTTCACTAAGCTGATTTCAAAGAAAGAGCAGCATCTCTTGCTACTGACGACAGGGTTTGTTTTTTTCCTAATAGATTCAACAAAAAACTCGTTTTGTTTTTGACATGGGGGGGGGTCAACAGACAAAGACACCTTTCTCATGTGTCATATTTTATTTTTTATATAAACTTGAGTTATTTTATGCGTTTAATTTTTTACTTTCAAAGTATTTAGAGATTGGCTACTTATGCAAGGTGTTCTATCGGTATTATTTATTATCTTATTTTTCAAATGAATTTTATCATTACCTCCAATTAGATGGCTTAGAACCTCGTCTTTCTTTTCTTTTTTCCACTCATAAAGTAAACTCTTCATGTAAATACTAGGAAAAACCTGCATGTGCAACTTACCTATTGAAGCCTTTTTTGTAATCTTTGTCATCAGTGAGTGAGAGAGAGGGAGGGAGGGAGGGAGGGACTGACATCCCCAACGTAAAGACAAATAGCTTTTCTTTTTTTTAAATATATATATAACTTTAATTAAACAAAAACATCTGATGCACATTTCTGTAAAGCTGAGAATAATTTCAAAGTTTATAAAACCACATCCTACAGATCCTTTTTGTAATCTTTAAAGATGGGGCCATTCGACATCGCTAAGTAATTAATGAAGGAAGGGAGGGATGGGGGAGGGCGGGCGGCCCTTAAGACAAACAGCTTTTTTATTTGACTTTAATTAAACAAAGTAAAGCTGAGAATTATTTATTTGTTTTCTAGATCGCTCTGACACAGAAGTACGGTTCAGTCTTTGCTCCTTTCAGATTAACCTTTACCTTCAGAAACTGCATTTTTCATCTCTCTGCATCCAAACACTGAAACCTCCAAACAGGGACGGATTTAGAAAATGTGGGGCCCTAGACAAAGACAGGCAGGGGCCCTCTGAATTAAGAAGACAACACATAAATCAGACCCATTCTACAGATAGAGAAATGTTAATAGAATAGACATCCATTATCTGTTCTAGGTTGTGTCCCTCTCTTCTTGTCCCTTTTCTTCTTGTTTTCCTCTCTATGTTTTGTACTCAGCTGACTTTTCATGCTGTCTCTAAAGGAATGAAAGATTTTTTCCAAGCACTAAGCTCACTTAGCTGATTGCTCCTTCCTGTGTTTCCAAAAAGGCCAAAGTAAATAACCCAGTCCTTCTTTTCACTGTAGACAAGCCATGATCTGCTTATCTGTTCTCCATTTTTCATTTGGATGAAATAACAGCTGCATGAATCATGACAGCAGACAAGATAGAGGAGAGCAGGAGGCGGGGTTACCAATCTACTTGCTCTGGAGAGCAGAGTTCGCTGCTTTTAGATGTTGTCTCCAAAGTCTCCAGTAGCAGAAAAAAGTCTCTAGATTTGGCGCTAGGAGCTTTTTAGAAATCAAAGTGCTAGAGGGGTCTGAAAAGTGGCTAAATGTAGCGACTAAAGCGCTAAGTTAGAAACACTGCTCTTTGCATGGTTTGTTTTTAAATGGTTTGCTGCTGTCTGTTTGGACCTTTCTGAGCATGTGCAGCAAATGGACTGATCCAATATGGCGGACGCACTTTAGACTTAGACAGATTTATTTTGTCATTTTTATGAGTGAATACAAAAATAAATTTGGTTTAAAACAGCTCTAGACACTTAATATTATAAGCATCCTGATTGCGTTTTGACGAAAAGATTTTCATCAAAAACATAATTAATGTTCACAAATAAGTAATAGCTGTATTAACCATGCATGTAAAAGGAGTTGGGGACTTGGGGCCCTATGCAACTGCCTAGTATTGCCTGATGGTAAATCCGCCCCTGCCTTCACGAGAACACTAGAAGCAAATCATCCTGAACAGAAACTCAGTTCATCTGTTACTGGAGCAAAGAAACTGGAGCTTTTTTAAAGGAATTTGTCTTGGGAAACATTAATGAGCTTTGAATTGGAGGTTCCGGCTCTCCTTCCAACAGATCAGGGTGATGGAGCTAAAACTGAAGTGGATTCGCTTCGTAAAGAACCAGTAAGGGTTCCTGCAGAGAGCCTCTGTTCAGACTGTAAAGACTCTGAGTCAGTGCGTCATGGAGGACCAGACTCCCACTCTCATCTTTATATCTCAGCTGGAAACCCGCCAGCTCCAAAGGCTGCGCGGCTAAAACAGCCGAGACGTCAAACACGTCATACTCAGACGAGGGCCGCCGGTGCAGCATCAGCTGCCTCTCTTCCAGAGCAGGAATCTCCTTCAGGTGATCCGCTGAGGCGATGATGCTGTGCAGGGTCACGGTCACGCTGAGCGGGTGGGAATGGAGGGTCTTCCTGTACAGAACCAGCTCTGCGGCCAGCATGGAAGGTTTCAGGCTGCTGATGTTGAACCAGATCCATCCTGGAGGAGCATGAAGTGGACCTGGGTGATCAGAACGGTGAAACACTGGATTATATGCTTTATTCCTACTCTGTCTCTTAATCTATCTAGAAATAAGTCAACATTTCTTAAATTAAGTCTATTCACCCTTAATTTGAGGACGTAAATAAGATGATTGGCAAATGGAATGAGTGTTTTTACTCTTAAAATGTGATAACTGCATAATATTCACTTAAAATTAGACAATGCAAAATAAGAAAATGCAATAGTTTTCTACTTTTAAGTTTATATCGTCTTGTTCCATCGGCAAAGAGTCTCTCTCACCTCCTCAATTTAAGAAGAAATTCACTTATTCCAAGAACAAAGGACTTATTCTGATTTTGAAAGTGGTGCTGAAAAGAACTTTCTTATGGAGTGAATTTTGTTTCATCATTATTGCAAGTAAAGAAAAAGTTAAACGGAAATTTCAAGAAGTGTTTTCTAGAAATGGAACTTTGAAAAAAAAATCTTAATTTTGAGAGGAGCTTTGCTGTTTTCTTAACCTTTATTTTTACAAAATAATTCTTTTTCAGTGTTAAGTATTTCATTCTTTTCAAATCGCACTTTCCAGATCCTGTTCTCTTCACAACCTT